GCGTGCGCATTTTATGTATAATGGACGTATAAGCTAAAATTATCTAATTATCTATTTCAGTTAATGTTGATGATTGCGTTGTTCCTTAATTTTCGAATGGGATCCGGCTTATTATTTTTTGCAGACTGTAAGAGCAATTTTATAAAAGTAAGCTTAAACTTTCGATTATATCAAATAGAATTTCCGATATATATTTGTTAATATGTAAAGGATCTAAAGCGAAAGTATGTTTTGAAATCCGAAATCTGTTTATCAATTTCACGCTGCTCGGCGGGGGGAATGCCTCGGCGCACAATGAATTGGAAGTTGATCTGTCAGCACTATCCTTATCTTCAGCGCAGATGTTTTTATTTTATTTGGCTTATAATTCCTTACCAAATGTAGTATTTCATCTCGATGCATGCTCCGTCTTTGATATGATTTAAAACAAGTTCCTCGTCATTATAATTCGCTTCCGATAGCGAAGAAAAGTGACAGAGGTTATTGAAAACGAAAAAAAATTTCGATTGACAAATTTAGTCGGTGTTCTTGACACAGCAATTATAGGACTTGAACAGCGGAACTTTGTAACTGAACAAGAAATTATGTCTGTTTAATAGAATTAAAGAGAAAGTATTATCACATGAAACGAAGCAAAACTTAAACAACTTACATTGAAAGAAATGTTTAATAAAGTAAACAAATAAATATTAAGCTTTTCTTTTTGCAAATTTTGATACCCTTTAGATCATAATTGTTCTTTATTTCATAAATTACGGTTTCATATTTTTAATTTTAGAATTTCTGCATGCCATCTTACGAGATTTAAACTGATGATCTATAATCCGGAAAAATCGATAATCCGGAATCGCCGAAGTCCCGACGAGTCCGGATTAACGACTTTTGACTGTATAATAACCCCACCAAATGAATATCGGTAATGAGAAATTCTAGGAGGTGAATTACTGATCCAAGAAGCAGCAAGAAGGCATTAACAAGGTTCTGAGAAGAGCATGCTTGAAAAATCTGGTTGCCTGATTATCTATGAGACAGAACTTTAAACATGTTTTTGATTACATAAGCACTGCAGTTATGTTTTTCCTTCCAAGTAAATAAATAAATAAATAAATAAATAAAAAATATCAAGTTACAGACTTTTAGTCAAAAATTCTATAGAAGTCCATATTTACACAAATAGCACAATCTCTCAGCATTTATCACTGTTTCTATTGTGGTAGGAATTTGTGCATCAGATTCATTACTATAAAAGCTTTCAGAAGTTCTCTGGAGTCCTTTATTATTACCATTCCATTTTCCTAATATGTGACAAGTTCTAATTAATAATTTGATGCAGGACAAGAGCAATACCTATATACAAAAATTTAAATGCATATTCAGTCAATGTCTACATATCGTACTGAAAGCAACACTAATACATTATTGTTGCACAGATTGTAATACATTATTGCTGCTGAACAAACTTTGAATGGGTATTGATTAAAAAAAGCCAACTTGATAAAAAAAAGCTTGAGTCAAAAAAAAAAAAAAAAAAAAAAAAAAAAACAACCTCACTTGTATTAATTAAAAAAAACCCTAAAGTTAAAAATGAAAGAAAAATGTTTATAAATTTTATAGCAGAGATTTATTTTTAAATCAAATTAAATATGAATATAGTAATATTCGACTAAATCCACAATGCGGATAAAAAGCTAACCTTTGATCATAAGAACATTTATCACAATTTCTTGGCAAACACATGAAATTTCTAAAAATCATGGTGCCATACCATTACCAAAGAACTTTGAACCATCTCAGATTCAATTCTTGACACTTGAACAGGTGGATGTTTTCATCTTATAAATGAATGAATGAATTTTGTTTAAAACATATCCTTAAGAGCAAAGTGATTTTTTATAATGAAATGCCTAACTATCATAACTTTTAGGTTTCCTGACATAAAATTGCACTCATTCTTAATATCACTATTAAAAATATTTCATTACAAAATAACTTTAGCTTTACTTTTGATAATGAACTGTAAAATATTTGTTCTACACAAAATTTTAGAATTTGGAACTCTCATTTCATTTAATAATATTTTATATTTGTGAAGTTATGCAAAAATTACTTCTATACTGTCACTGTACAATAGACAATAATGGCATGGCATACCTAACAAAGTTCTACAATTAAATCTGAATGCTGCATCTAGATTTCTACATGTGTAGTCCAGCAGTATTTCTATCTAAATCAACATTCTATCTAGATTAAAAGTGAATTTATTAGAATACTGAACCAAATTAATCTAATCTAGAATCTATTTAGCATTTCATCAGCAGCATTCAAGTTGCATCAAACAATGCCTTGAAGGCCTTATACAAAAATTGTTTCAGAAGCTATAAATTTAGTTTTAAAACATTTAAGTCGACTGTTATTACTGCATAATAGTGTAATGAACTTTGTAGTATCTTTCGTATCATGTAATAAAACAAGTTTGAAGATAGTGATGCTCTGCTGGAAAAATAAGATTACAGGGGCAAGTCTATTAACATTGAGGTAAATGGCCATCTTGCTCAAATCACAAGATATCGAAAAGCTGGTGATAGTTTTGGTGACTGAATTTTGCCACCAAATTTGGCGAGAAATCACCAAAAGTAATCAAACTTGGCGACACTTGGGTCTGGTCCCTGTATGAACCAACTGATTGATCCCTATACGTAACAAACTGATTGATCACTATATGTAACAAATATGAAATAATAATGAATAACTGATTGATCCCTATATGTAACTGTAACCACATCCAACCCTCACATGTAATTTTATTCGTATATATGCTGTTAAGAAATGGAAGGCACTAGAGATTTCTTGGCAACTGAGAGAAGACTATATAAGACAGGAAAAAGCATCAGCTGTTAGTTTTTCTGTTCAGTGTCAACTTCAGAGTATTGAGATATCTCTGTGTGAGCTTTGCTCTTCAGATGCACTTTACATTGCGTTGTGTTTAATGTTATTAGTAGTTTGAAGTGGTAACTTATGACTGTGCTTTATCATACTGAGAAGAGCTATACAAGTATTTTTTGTGGAAAGTTGAAGAACTGTAAAGAATTTCTTTTGGAAAAATTTTATCAGGCTATTATCAGTTCTATATGCATTCAATCCATTACAAACCTGTACGCATTGCAACAATATGCAATATGCACCAATCAGAATAGCAATATTTTTGTCACTGTATTCCCAACAATCAGCCAACTGCAATTCCTTTAATTCTTTGTTTATTTTGGAAACCGACATATCAGGAAAAGGTAAATTAGTCGTGCATATTTGATTAGTTTCTAAAGCTTCAATTTCTTTGTTTAGAGATGGTTCCTTTCTGCTTTCGATTTTCATTTTGATAAGATTATAAGTTTGTTCTGTTGTCAGGTTAATCTCAAAGGCAAATAGTGACAAAGTATCTTTTCTAATAACAGGCAATTTGCATTTCTATGATGTCCTGAGTTATTAAATTTCTCATCAAACCACTGTTTAATAGAATATGAACTGGTTCTAAACTATCCTCATCAGAGAATGGATAAAGCATTACAGAGCACATTTGTAGCAATGTACTGTGGAAAGTTTCAGTTTTTAATGGACTAATTTCAATATCTTCCTTACAAAGCAAAATTGTCAACATGACTTTAATGTTATCTGATTTTGTTTTAAGGTGAAAACAAATAGATCTTTTGTGTTTTCTGCTACACATATTTCACACATTTTTCTTTCTTTACATTCTTTTAGTCTATGCTGATGTTTAAAGCATAACAGATCATCGTGATACTCTTCCACAAAATTAATTTCCACCTCAAAATTCTTTAAATCTGTTTCCTTCCCTTCAGTATAGAATTATGAGTTAACTTGATATTTTCAATTTTAGTGTTCAACTGGTTTAATAAAGCCTTTAAATTACTCACTGTCACTGGTTTATTTTCTTCAACATTCTTATCTGTTTTACTGATAAGCTTTTCAAATGAACCTTTTCCACTAGTTCTTACTTTTCAGCTTTTCCAGTTCCATTGCAAATAAAGAAAATAAAATTTTCTGAACTTCAATTCAAGTTGCATTGATGCTATGAATGCAAAATTTGGATTCAACTATTTAATGGGATTCAAATTTTGGCATGATTCCTTCAAAATACTCACTGAATAATCATTAAAACTTCTTCCCTCTTTCCCAGCCAATGCACCAATACATATAATAGACAATAATGGCAGGATATATCTAAAAGAGCTCTACAATGAATCTAAATGTCATATGTAGATTTTTACATGTGTGGTTCAGCATTATATCTATGTAAATCAATGTTCCATCTAGTTTAAAAGGGAATTTACTAGAACACCAAAATAAATAAATCTAATCTATTTAACATTTCATCAGCAGCATTCAAGTTGCATCAGGCAAAATTGAAAGCAAGTTCCAAAAGTTCATGCCATTGTCAATTAGCACTCTATCAGTGTGCTTGTACTGATTTTCACATTGCTATTCAGAGGAAAGAAAAGCCTCTATTCAAACCAGAAAAGTTATTAATAATTTATATTTCTCACTGTTGCAAATGAATGTTACAAATTTTGTTATTAACATAAATAAAATAAGGCATCATTTCACATGAGCACCACCTCTGAAATTAACCAGTACTTGAGAGTAAATATTTAAAGTATCATGCTGAATCCCACTGACATTCACATTCTCGAAGCTGACCACTTTCACAGAAGATTAAAGTCATCTAGAACTATAAGTGGTTGTCTTAGGGAAGTATTTCACAGCATACATTCAGGATGAAATAGAAAAATCTTCTTCAGTGAGGATGAATCAGCAACACCAATTAGTTGAAAAAATTGTAAATGCCATAAAATTATGACCTTGTTATAATAAATGTGTAGATAAATGCATATTTATAATAATCAGGCATAATTATTGACATTTACTACAATACATTCTGCTATAAATGCACTTTATAAAAGATGTGAAATATGTGAAAATAATACCTTTCTTGGATGAAGAGTGACTCCAATCTGAGGAAATACAGTAGCTCCTCCAGCATCTACATCACTCATCTATGAAATGAAAATAAGTTAGTTACAAAAAATAACTTATAAAAGTTTTGAAATAAATAAATAATATTGCATTAAGCAATGCAAAACTCAAGAAAAACTTCACTTACATAAAGTAACCAAGTCGCTATCCTATTTCCAGTTCCTAAACTTTGAAATGCATTTTTTTCTTCTCTCTAATAACATAATGTAATTAAAAATAAGATATCACAGATTACAACAATCAATAATGTTTCCTAAAATACTCAGCAGGAAATACATATATGATACATTTTCATGTGCATGTTCAGTAGTGATTAAGAGTTGCTGACAGGAGGCACTGCTAGCGCTTTGTACTCTCGACCTACGTAATCTTAATTGAGTATTCTTTTGTTTTGTGTACTTGCTGTAACAGATCTTACAGTTTGTGATTGAGAATTTAAAATGTTTTGGAGCCAGATCGCTCCTCTACTACAACAAAATGATTAATAAATACATAATAAAGTAAATATCTTTGTGATGAGAATATTTGTTATTAAATACAAAGTCAACCAGCTCCTGAGTACAGTTGAAGTGGTCCGTCGTAGTTGCAGGTGAGCTCTTCCATTTTAATGCCTATTAAATTTGAAGAGTATAACTGTAATAAATATGGAAGCTCTAAAAACTAGGAAAAGAGTGTTAAAAAGTTCACTGATGCGGCATAAAGATAAAGTTGTTTCGTCATTAGATGTTTCAGATTCAGTTGCGTTGCAGTTATTTGAAACCAAAGCTAATGAAATTTCGAACGAACTTAAATCTGTATTTTATTCAATTTTCGAAACATGTAAACCCGACGAATTGGATAATGTTATTAAGGATAAAGAAGATACAGATGATATTGTTGATGCGTTGCTATTGATGATTAAACGTAAATTAGTAGTAGTAAAAAATAAGATGAACGCTGAATATTCTGTTTCTTCTGTGCCGGGTAATAATAATTCAAATGTGTTTTCGGATGTTAAGTTACCAACGCTATTCGTACCGACATTTAATGGTAAAATCGAGAACTGGATAATGTTTAAAGCTATGTTTAAAGCTAGTGTAATAGAAAACAAATCTATTTAAAGCAATGCAACGAGATTGCAATATTTAAAAGCTAGTTGTAAGGCCAAAGCTCTGAGAGTAATACATTCTATTTCTATTTCGGATACAAATTTCGATATAGCATGGAAACTTTTAGAAGATAGGTATTTGAATAAACATGAGTTTTTAAATGCTATAATAAAAAAGCTTTTGAATCAGCCAAGTATTAGCGAGACATTTAGTTCTATTCTACATTTAATTGATGTAACGAACGAATGTATTCAAACTTTAAATATTTTAAACTACAAAGTAGAAAACTTATCGGAAATAATGATAGTATATTTAATAGTGGGTAAGTTTGATAAATCGACTTGATACTGGTGGGAAAAGGAATTAAAAAACTCGGAAGAATTCGGTACGATTGAACAATTACTTTCGTTTTTACAAAGCCAAGCGAGAACGCTTCAAAATAGTAAAATAAAGAAGATAAAAAAGAGTAAAAATTCTCCACATAAACTTACAAGTATGATATCCACTTCTAATAAGAAGAAAATAAATTTGAAGTGCATAAAGTGCCATGGTGAAGAATTCCATTCATTATATAAATGTCCGGAATTTATAAATCTTTCTGTCAATGGCAGGTGTGAATTCGTGAAAAGAAATAAACTTTGCTTTAATTGTTTGAAAAACCATTCCATTCGAACGTGTTCGTCTAATTATCGATGTCGAAAATGCTCACTAAAGCATTCAATGCTGTTACATTTCGAAAATGAAAAACAAAATAAATCCGAAAGTGCTCATATTTCAAAGCCGGAAAGTAGGGAGGGGGAGAAGATGACAACCAGTTTTAATCCGAATGCTGAAAAATTTGTTTACGACTCTTCTTTCTACCAATAAAGAAAGTATTTTCGCCGGCACAGCTGTAAATGGAATGCATCAAACCAAAAATATTTTACTTTCTAATGCGAATATTTTAATAAGAGATTGTTATGGTGAATTAAAATCAGTTCGTGCTTTGTGTGATGTAGGTTCGATGACGTCATTCTAATGATTGAATGTGCTAATTCGTTAGGGATTAAAAGAAAAAAAATATCTGGTGTTGGTGTATTTAATTATGGCAAAGCACACTAGGGCTATCTGCCTAAGGGGAGGGATGCCTTCGTGGAGGACTTTCTAAGGGAAACTTTCTCGTATACATGTTACACATGGGGAAAACCACGAAAACACCCGTGCAGCCAGCCTGTTCGTGGGATTCAAACCTCGGATTGAACTACCAGTGTTCAGTGACTTTACCGCTCGGCCACTGGTGGGCAGAAAAAATATCTCTTGCAGTTTCTGGATTAAATAACATGAGAATAAATATTAATTCTAAAGTATGTGCTTATATTTCAAATGGTTTTGACTTTGAAATGAGTTTAGAATTTTTGTGCGTGCCTAAAATCTCTGACTCCATGCCAATAAATAATATAGAAGTTCCAATTGAACATTTTCCTCAAAACATTAAGTTTGCTGATCCAAACTTTTATAAAAGAGGAAAAATTGATGTATTATTAGGTGCAGAGGTGTTTTATCAGATTTTAAAATTCGGTCAAGTTGAAGTGCCAAATTCAGATCTAAGATTTCAAAATTCTGTTTTGGCTGGTAGCCACTGGTAGTATTTTAAGATTCAGAGACTTCAAAATACATGTGAAGCAGGTTCACTGTGGAATTAATTAATAATTATAGTGATATAGAAAATGAAATTAAAAAATTTTGGCAACTTGAGTCTATAGGAATTAAAGATGATCCCAGTGAAAATGAGATAGATCAGTGAAAATGAGAAATGAGATAGATCCCAGTGAAAATGAGAAATGAGATAGATCCCAATGAAAATGAGATATATCAATCCTTAGAAACATTTGAAAAAACTGTTTGTTTTAAAGATAGCCGGTATGAGGTTCAAGTACCATGGAAAAGAGATTGGGGGGGGGAACTCAATAATAACTTCATCGTTTCAAAAAAGAGAATTTACTTATACATAGACTTCAAAAAGATTCAAATCTTTATTTGCAGTATATTGAAACTTTAAAGGACTATGAAAATAAGAATATTATAGAGAAAGTTAGATGTCCTAAGGAACCTACAGATAAGCCTTTGTTCTATTTGCCCCACCAACCAGTTTTTTGAGAGGACAATGCAACTACAAAAGTGAGAATAGTATTTGATGTAAGTTCCAGTCATAACTCTAAGCCTTTAAGTCTAAATGATTGCCTGTGTCAGATCCAAGCCTGAATTCGAACATATTCGACATTCTTGTTAATTTCAGATTAAACAAAGTCGCCTTTACTTCAGACATAGAGAAAGTGTTTTTACAAATTTTATTAGCCAAAAAGGACAGAGATGCAGTTCGTTTTCTGTGGGAAGAAAATGGCAAAATTCAAGTTTACAGATTTAATCGTGTTCTTTTTGGTGTTACGAGCAGTCCATTCCTTTTGACTGCTACTTTGAAAACTCACCTGAGAAAGCAGTCTGAAAAATTCCCGACTACAACAGAATGCTTAGACTGCTGTTTGTATGTGGATGATTTTATTTCTGGAGCTGATAATGTATCGGATGCTTTTGAGATCTCCACTCAAGCTACATCAATTATGAGCCAAGCTAGCATGGTGCTACAAAAATGGACTACGAATGACAATACATTGATGCAGTTTTGGACACGTGAAGGTTTCGACACACAGCCACAAGTCAACACTATTAAAGTCTTGGGACTATCAAGGAATCCTGTTGAAGATTGTCTGATATTGGGAAAGCAGAGCCTAGTGGACAGTCTGTCTAAAAACGAAAGTAACAAAAGATTCCTGCTACGTACAATTGGAAAGATTTTTGATCCGCTTGGGTTGCTTTCGCTGTTTACTATCCATGCAAAAATCATTCTACAAGTCTTATGGATGAAGCAAATTTCTTGAGATGAAGAAATACATGTAGATCTACAAAAAATATGGCTTCAGTGGTGCTCCAAGGTTCCTCATCTTTCAGAGTTACGAGTTCCTAGAAACGTGCTCAATTTAACTATACAAGAGTCAATCGATATCTTAGAACTGCACTGCTTCTGTGATGCTAGCCAAGCTTATGGTACTGCTATTTATGCAAGAGTTGTGAAGGATAATAACATCGAAGTGAATTTATTGGTTAGCAAGAGTCGAGTGATGCCACTAAGGAAAATCACTCTTCCGAGACTAGAATTACTTGGTGCTTTGGTTGCCGCCCGACTAGTGAGTAAAGTCAAGAAAACAGTGGATTTAAAATAGCCCTCCTTAGTGTTCTTTTGGACGGATTACAAAATAACTCTCTATTGGATTAAAGGATATACGAAATGATGGAAATCATTTGTTGCCAATAGAGTTAACGAAATACAGAGTTTAAGTGATACCATTGCCTGGGCACACTGCCCTGAGAAGCAAAATCCAGCTCACCTCCTCAGCAGGGAAGTCCATGCTGACATTTTATGGAACAGTGACATTTGGTGGAATGGACCCCAATTTTTGAGAGTAAAGACTGATGTTCCGGTAGACAATAATGACATTCTAATTTCATTAGATGACTTTTCTGATGAACTAAAGAAAACTGATGACTCTAATGATCATTCTCCTATTGCCTTAACTGTTTTTAATCATAGTTGATGATATTATTTCCTTGAGTAATAATTATTTATTGTTCATATAATGTGCTATGTATTTAGATTTATCAATAATGTTAGAAATGAAAAGCTTACAGGTCACTTTACATTTAGCGAGTTGAGAAGAGCAGAACTTTATTTAATTAGGTCAATCCAACAAGGTGAATTTGTAGATGAAATAAAACATCTTGAAAGAGGTGCCTCAGTGCCCAGCAACGGCAAGGTAAAACCTTTAAACTGTTTTTTAGATAAAGACAATGTTCTAAGGGTTGGAGGCAGACTGAAACATTCTGACCTCAGTACATATGAGAAAAATCCATTGTTCTGCCAGATAAGCATCCATTAACTTTAATTCAATAATTGTGAGATATTAATCATTTAAAATATTTGCATGTTGGTTCAAATGCCTTATTTATCATGTTCGACGTAAATTTTGGGTCTTAAATGGAAGAAATGTTTGTCGTAAAGTTGTTTTTCAATGTATAACTTGTTTTAAAAACAAACCTGTTTTTAAGACTCAGATAATGGGTGATCTGTCCAAAGAACGAGTAACATTTTCTTACCCATTTAGTAATGTTGGAACTGACTTTTGTGGACCCATTCCACATTAAATTTAAAAATCAGCATAAGGGAAAACTGAACAAAGTGTATGTGTGCATTTTTGTATGCTTAAGCAACCAAAGCCATCCATTTAGATTTTGTCCTCTGATCTTACTTCAGATGCCTTTATAGCTTGTTTGAAACGATTTTTTAGTCGCAGGGGTAAATGTGCAAAATTATTCAGTGTCAATGCAAAGAATTACGCGGGTGCAAGCATTGAGCTCAAAACTGCATAAATTGGTTAAACATCCAGATGAAACACTAACTAAATACCTGCTAAGTGAAAACATTGAGTGGAGATTTATCCCTCCTAAATCACCAAACTTCGGCGGCCTTTGAGAAGCCGGGGTGAAATCTTTTAAGTTTCACTCTAAACGAATTATCGGCAATGCTCATTTGTTTCTTCAAGAATTTCTCACTGTAATTCTAGAAATTGAAAGCGCATTAAATTCTAGCCCCTTACTCCCTTATCATCCAAGTTTGATAATTTTTAAACCTTGTCCCCCAGAAATATTCTCATAGGGAGGCCTTTAACTTCAATAGCTGAACCCCAACTTATTGAGATACCAGAAAATAGGCTCTCAAAATGGCAAAAAATAACGAAATATAGTCAACAAATTTGGAAGTTATGGAAGAGAAACTATTTAAATAACCTTCAACAATGTAGTAAATGGATGTTTACTAAAAATAATGTTAAGGTGGGTTCGCTAGTATTAGTCAAGGATGAACATATGCCCAGTACAAAATGGTTAACAGGTAGAATTGCAGAAATAATTTCTGGAAAAGATAAAAAAGTTCGAGTGATTAACATAGTATTACCAGGCAGTAAAATGTTAAAAAGAAATGTCCGAGACATTTGTGTTCTTCCTGTGAATTGTAATTAAATTTATGTATTTTAATGTGTTTCTTTCCAGTGTTTATATTGCATTTATGATTTAATGCGTATTTTAAAATTTAACCATTGTATTGCTATTGCTTACAATTGTTTGTTATTATATTGTTATTTAAAATAGTGTATACTAATTGTAATATTTTTTGAAAACCGTAAGGTTTCAAGGTCGGGAGTATGTTCAGTAGTGATTAAGAGTTGTCGACAGGAGGCGCTGCTAGCGCATTATATTCTCGACCTACGTAATCTTAATTGAGTATTCTTTTGTTTTGTGTACTTGCTGTGATACAGCTTACAGCTTTGTGATTGAGAATTTGAAATGTTTTGGAGCCAGATCGCTCCTCTACAACAACAAAATGATTAATAAATACATAATAAAGTAAATATCTTTGTGATGATAATCTTTGTTATTAAATACAAAGTCAATCAGCTCCTGAGTACAGTTCACTACTGATTCACATATAAAAAAGATGTACATGAAATGAATAATAAAAGCCTGTGTAAGAAATTCCCACAATTACAAATATTATGGATACTCTAATCCTATTTATATTTTTGCATTTTAAAGTAAAACAGGTGAAATAGTGCCTGTCAGTTAAAAAGGTTACCATCATGCATCAATCCCAACAATTATTACAGCACATATGCAAATCAGATTTTTCAACTGAATGCAGTTTTTACCTTTGTTCAGTTTGCAAAACATTTTAACTTAAGTTATTCCATCACAATAAAAACTTCCTAAATTTAGAAGTTCTTTACAATCCAAGTTTTACAGCTAACATCAATGCTATGAATGCAAAATTTCGATTAATATGTTGAGAGCACTTTATATATTGTGACATATATATAGGCAAATATTAGCTGCAATAACAAGAGTTAGTTGTATATATAATTTTACTGCAGAAAATCCACAATGTGTTTCCTCATGAAATCCTTATGTTTCTTTTAGAAAAGAATACTGCTATGGTGACATGCATAATCATACTATAGCACAGCAAAATTGCAAAAAGATAAATAAAACCCTAAAAACTTTTATATCAAAATAGTTTTTCATGTGTTTTATAAATGATACATATTTTTTTTTTTTAAAAATAAATCAACAATCAAAAACTTGTTATGGTGTTTATATATATTTAAAATTTCAGGAAAATACTATTCATTACATGCAATTATTATTTTATTCAATGCATACATTCTGTTCATTAATCCCTTTAACTATCTTTTACCTTATATTTAAATAAAAACAACCTCTATTCAAAATTTGCATTAAAATCATGAACCAGGAAAAAAGGGCAAATCCTCAGCTTTGATTCAGTACTATACACTGAGGTGACAAAAGTCATAGGACACCTTCTAATATTGTGTCAGATCTCCTTTTTTCTGGTGAAGTGCAGCAACTCCATGTGGTATGGACTCAATAATTCACTGGACGTTCCCTGCAGAAACATTGAGCCATATTTCCGAATACAGACATCCATAATTGCGAAAGTGCTGCCAGTACAGGATTTTGTGCACATGTCCCATAGATGATTATGTCTTGATTATATCCCATAGATGTTTGATGGGATTCATGTTGCCGATCTAGGTGGCCAAATCATTTGCTGGAATTGTCCAGAATGTTCTTCAAACTAATTGCGATAAGTTGTGGTCCAGTGACATGGCACATAAAAATTATTGTCAGCCATAAAAATTCCATTGTTGTTTGGGTATATGAAGTCCATGAATGGCTGCAAGTGGTCTTCAGGTAGCTGAACATAACTATTTCCAATTAATGATCAGTTCAGTCGGACCAGAGGACCCAGCCATGCCATGGAAAAACAGCCCACACCATTATGGAACCACCAGCAGTTTGCACAGTGCCTTGTTGACAGTTTGGGTCCATGGCTTCGTGGAGTCTACTCCACACTCGAACCCTACCCCCCCCACTCTTAGCAACTGAAATTGTGACTCATCTAAGACACGGTTTTTCAGTCATCTAGCCATGGTTCTCAACCAAGTCATCATTTTTCAGTCATTTAGTGTCCAACCGATATGGTCACGAGCTCATGAGAGGCATTGCAGATGATATCATTCTGTTAGAAAAGGTACTAGACTGGGTCTTCTGCTGCCATAGCCCATTAAAGCCAAATTTTGCCGTATTGTCCTACCAGACACGTCCATCGTATGTCTCTCATTGATTTCTGCAGTTATTTCATGCAGTGTTGCTTGTCTGTTAACACTGACAATTTTACGTGCACATCACTGGTTTTTGGCTTTAAACTGCAGGCAGTAGTTGGCCACTGCATTGTCCATGATGGGATGTTATGCCTAAAATTAGGTATTCTCAGCACACTCTTGATACTGTAGATCTTGGAATGTTGAATTCCCTAATGATTTCCAAAATGGAATGACTTATATGTCTAGCTCCAACTACCATTCTGCATTTAAAGTCTGTTAATTCCTGTCATGTGGCCGTAATCATGTCAGAAACCATTTCACAAGAATAACTTGAATACAAATGAAAGTCCTGCTAATACACTTCCCAATTGTACATTTTGTACATGATACTACTGCCATCTGTATATCTGCATATTGCTATCCCATAACTTTTGTCACTTCAGTGTACAAATGAAACAGTCCAGCCAATGATAATACAAAGTTAATGAACAACTCGCCAATTACATCATAATTATACGGAACTTAAAAGCAAATTAGCATTAGCAAAACAAGGATTTAAGAACAGTAACACAAGCACCAGTCAGTATTAGACACTGCTTAAATAAAACACATAAAAAGTTTAGTTCAAAAAGATTTAAATTTGAATGAAGAATGAAATTTTAAGAGAAGGTGCTTGTTACTGAATATAAACTATTCACACAGATGAAAACATTTTAAAATTTTAATTATATATTTCATTACACATAAAAAATTATATTAGCCAGTTTATTAGTTAATTAAAATAATAACTCACTCTGGCAAAATCAAAATGTGGTTCATAGTGTCCTCCTATACCATAATTTACAACCTGCAACTCTTCTGCAGTCGACACTGTCAAGCCAGTTAAGTCTTCCACTCTCTGTGATATTTTAGCAACAACTGGATGATCTTCATTTTTTAACCAAGCACTTAAAAAGAAAAATAATTTTTGAAAAATATGTTCAGAACAATATGTGCATCTGTATGTCAATTAGAAGGAGGGAGAGTATAGAGATTGATTTTGAAGCCAATTCTGTACAATGCTCAGCACCTGTTTATATCACCATTTATGTTTATTTTTTTTAAATGACTACTAGTGTCATTTAATATGAAACAGAATTTTAATAATAACAGAAACATGTTACAGATAACTATAGTTTGATCAGTTTTAAGAATTAGTTCATTTTTAACACTGCATATTTAAGTTGCATATACAGATTACAGGAGGTCTAGTGGCAACCCAGCATGTGCAGCTTGAGCTCCTTTCCTGGAATTTGCAGCAAAGTAAGCAAAATTTGTTATTTTTTTGAAATACAAGTTTCTTGATGTCTTCCTATACTTGTGTCTTTATTATATAGGTTTCTCATAATAAGAATTGCATTAGATATTCTTAAAAAATAAAATAACTATAACATATTTTCTCCCTCCTTTCTGCATGCCTTCGTGGTGTAATGGTAGCACACTCGGTGCATGTTTGAGAGGTCCGGGTTCGAGTCTCGGCAGGGACATTGCTCATTTTTCACATCTCCACCATAAAAAATAATCTAATGTCTCTCATAAAATACACTATTTAAAATTTTATTAAATAGATTATTCCATGCATAAGAATACATTCCACTTCAGTAAAAACAAGACATGAGAAATTAAAACAACCCATGAACATCAATCAAGGTCAGTTTAACTTATTTTACTTTAAAACAGCATGTTTGCAAGTTATCTAATCTCTCTGTATTTAACATGAAAGGTAAAGACACTTGAAAAATAGTGATAAATAAAGTATTTTCATATTTTCTTTCTCTGAAACAATATAATTTTAATAAGCAAATAATATTTATATATTTGTAAAAAATATAAGCAAATCCCCCAGATAAAATGTTTTGAGGATAAAATCTTGACAAAAGTGATAAAGAATAACATAAAATGAAGCAATTTGGATTTCAAAAAAGTATAAATGTATTTTGATGCAATAAAATGGAAAACAGTAGCTTAAATGCCAGCCAAAAGTAAAATAATCAAACTGACATACTTTTTGGTATCTTTATAATAATAATAGTAGTAGTAGTAGTAACAACAATAATAATAATAGTAGTAGTAGAAACAACAACAATAATAATGATAATAATAATAAAAACACTTGCTATCTGAACATTTTAGGTTTAGGCCATATATTCAAAAAAGATTAAAATCTCAAAACATTATTCTACTATTATGCTTCTCTTCTTAAATTTTAAAATTAGCATTTAATAAAATTGAATATTTGCTGTTAATAAAATTATAGCTCATTTGTTAAAGAATCTACTTTAAAAGCTCAGAGATTGTCTCTGCATTTCTGATTTATGATACTCATGGGATAAATCAGTCACTTGCACAAATCAATACTAAAACTATATAAAATGTTTTTTTTTAAATGATTAATTTATATTGAATAGTGCACTTTCATAATATTAATGATTTTATGCGCCATCAGTTGACAATACAGCCTATTTATAAACTGAGAAGATTCCATCACAAAGTAATAGCAATAATAATAAGGTTAAAAATTTATAAAAAATTAATTTTGAGTGCAAAATTAAAAAATTACATTCTTTTTTTGTAAAACAAAGAAAAAACTAATAAAAGTTGGCAGATATTCATACATTTTGATTTGTAGTACCAACATGCCAATTTCAATTGTATACAAAAGGACCCATATGAAATTTGTATGCACAGAATTTCATCATTACTAACAAAAGAGATAATAAGATTTGATATGAATATTGTGAAATGTTTTCAGTCACATTAGACTGAATAAAAATATTATTAGATAATCTTATGGGTAATTTTAGAAAGTATATTTGAATTAAAATAATTCAGGAATTTCATAATTAATGAGAAAGATTAATGTTTTGTTAAATATAAATATATTTTCAACTGCTTGGATTTAACATCATTCTAAATATATTAAGATTAATATAAAAAGACATGCAAATAAGTTTATTATACCTTTTGCTAATCCTGTAACTTGCATATTCTAGTTTTCCAGATTTATAATTCTGAACTGTAGCTCTTTTAAGCTAAGAGGAACAGAAAAATGTACATAAATTAGTATAACATTTATAGACAATTAGCTTGTAGCCCATATAAATAATCTCATTACATATAAATAGCATGAAATATATATTTTTAATTTATTCCAACTGACATTACATGTTTCATATTTTGACTTTCCAATTGAAATTTTTACATACATAAAATATTCTTAAATTCGATAAACATATAGATGTTTATATCCATACATTATACATATATTTAAATATATTTATTACTCGTACATGATAATTATTCATTCAAGTTGTAAAAAAATTAATTTTATTTTTAACTAAAACAGTATACAAGAATTAATACTGAACACATATACATCGCTTTCAAACAAGGCAGTTTGAAAGCAGGATATAAACCATAAATATTAAATTATTTATAGCCATCAATAAATTCATAAAATATATAAATATTAAAAGTATGATATATTTTCCTAAGGAATTTCAGATTTAAATAGAAGGCTAATATCAAATGTACTGAAAGAAAAATTATTTAAACTCACATAATAGAACATTACAGAAAATAATAAGCGAAAATGTCAAACTTGAAAAAAACAACACCAGTAAAGTTCAGATTCATGTATAAAAATTGAAGTAAATACACTGCCGGCCATTAAAACAAAAACACTGGGAAGGAGTGATCTGATGAATGCCAAAATCACATGAAAGGAAGAAGAGGTCGGGATGTGCAAATGATTAGTATTTCAGCACATTTTAGATGATGTAGGAGGGAAAAACAACATCTGAAGCACTGCATAAAAGAAAAGGTGTCCAGCGGATTTCCCATTCGGAAAGCGCTTTGCAAGGTTGGAGTTTGCTCAGAATATCATGTTATTCCTTGAATAATAATAAGAAATGCTTACAAGCAAGTGTCGGAATTCGATAGAGGAAGGAACCTTGCCTATCGAGAGTTTGGACTATCATTCTGTGATATCGCCGTCACACTGGTCGACATCCAACCACTGTCATGCGAATATGAAATCAATATAGTGCTGAGGGTCATACTGAGCAGCATGCAGGATCTCAATGCCCTCCCATGACTAACACCCGAGAAGACATATTGTGAGGTCAGCCCTGCAAAACCATACAACCATATAAGAGACTATTGGTCAAGAAAATGAGCATGTTTGCAGTACGCCCAATATCTGCCTGTATGGTGCGATGACATTTGCATCAGCATGGACTATCAGCACGGCGACCATTACTTCGACTTTGCTTGACAATGCAGCATAGAGGGAGACGGCGACTCTGGTGCACCCAACGACAAAGCTGGATAAAGAAGTGGACAATGCCATCTTTTCAGATGAGTCCTGGTTCTGCATGCAGTATTCTGATGGCCATATATTATATCTGGAAGCTCTGAGGAGATCGCACATCACCTGCTTGCATTCGATATTGGCACAGGGGTCCTGCACCTTGGGCAGCCATTGGGTACACGACATGCACATCTCTAACTTCAGATCAATGACAATTTGAATGCAGCTGCAAACATTTCTGACATCTTACGCCCAGTGGTTGTGCCCTATCTTTGGGGCCTGCAAAATGCCGTCTTCTAACAAGATAATGCAATAATGTTGCATGTTGTGTTCTGACCTTCCTTGATACACAGGGTATTTGATTGCTGCCCTGGCCTGCATGGTCTCCAGATCTGTCACCCACTTAAATTATCTGGTCATGGGTTGCTGAGAGACTGGTCCACCACCCCTCTCCAGCAGTTGATGAAGTGTGGCATAGATTTGGAGCAGCATGGAATGAGCTGCCCGTTTCTGTCATCCAAGCCCAGTTCTACTTCATGCCTAACCGGGTAAAAGGGCTGTTTTAACAGCCAGGGGTGGCAGCTGTTTCTGCTGATTTCACACCCCTGTAAACTCCCAAACTGCTTACAAATTTAATAATTTCGTATTCATGCCATATTGTTAACATGCAATAAATATCTTTTTGTATTTGCTTTCCTTCATGGTGCTGCAATTTTAATGGCCAGCCATGTATTAACCCTCTAAGTGGCATGACAGGCTATATCCAGTCATGAGATTTTTTTTGTCACACGTACAAATTTAAAACATTTTGCTCTCTTACTTTCTTTAATAATGTGAATATCATCTTAATGAATGAAAGTTTTAAAATTAGTAATCATACAAATTTAGTTAAAAAATGCTGTTTAAATACATGTTTTCATTAGCAGATCCAAAAACCCATGCCACTTGCAGGGTTAAATTTGTGCATTCTGTAAATAAAGGGGAAAAGATCAATGCTAATTGAAGTTTTAACAGAACTTGGCTTTAATTTATCAAAATATTAATGTTATTTTGCTAACACTTGCAAATCAAAAATATAACGTTATACACAAAAGCATTTGAGCAGAAGAAAAATATGGCTAGAACTCTTTCTCAATGTCTGTTTGTTGAGATATGAAAGAAGCGAAAGTCATATCATTCATAAGATTTGTACACAGGAAAACTTTGAAATTTCTATGTATCAAAATTAGAAGTAAGCAGCATTAATAAAAGCAATAAATTTGGTTTCTGAAAGCTGGAAATTTCTCTCCTTCCAAAATATTCCAAGAAGTATGATTTCACCATGCCTTTTAAATTGATCAATAATACCATATTTTTAGACGTAAAAAAATAAATACAATATATTTACTTTCATAAACCAATAATTTTTTTAAACAATTGTACTACTGAAATTTGGGGATCAATGGGTTCATATTTACAAGTAATTCCATCACAAAAATAATATCACAGTTTAAATAACTGAAAAAATATAATTTTTACTTTACTTAACCCTAATATAAATTAATCAAATTTCTTAATATCAGTGTCCAACTCAAAAATCGGCAACCGTTCTTTTTTTTGTTTTTTTGTTTTAAGGCAAATATCATCAGCCTCCATTCCATCATTAACATCGTTCGCATTTGTATCATTTGTAGATAATATCTTCAGGTCCCCTATGGCATTGTTTAGCTCAAATGATAACTTTTAGTTTAATGCTATTAGACTATGCAGGACCCTTTTTTTATATGAGCACTTTTCACTTTACTGAAGAAATGAAGAACTGTACTTCACTTTTATAAGTGAGAGCATAACTGAAGGTAAATAAAAATCTTGTCACTGCTTAAAATGGTTACCACAACTAAAAATCCAAGGCACTTATATTCAGCTTGTTTGATAAACCTAGTTAAGTTAGATAATCAGTTATTCATGCTTTAGGCAATATATACAGTTGAATTTATAGGGATAATTTATATATGGATTCCAATTTTGGCTAAATTTTTACAACAAAAGCTTACTTCTCAGACTACATGCAGAAATATATGGTAACCGATTCCTATTCATGGGAAATTTATAAAATTTTATGAATGTAATTTTGAAAAATCCTCTGATCTTGAAAATTCAGATTAAGAGAATAAATACCTAATATTAATAACAGAATACCAAATATGATAAACAAGGAGAGGAAAATGCCTTATCCTAACATGTCATTACTGGGATTAATATTCTAACTTCCAATGTTTAAAGGTTAAAATTATTACTTAAAAATTTTTTTAAGTGAAAGCTGCATAAGAAATAGATTGTAAAATTATTAAGGAGATTCAGTCCAGTCTAGCCATTGTGTTGACTTCTTTTCTTGCATAGGTTTCTTTTCTGGTTTTATGTCATTTATCTCTTTCAATACTGGGTCCAGAAGTATTATAGATCAAAATATGAAATTTTTTCCTTCTCCTAAACAAACTGAATTTCTACATGCTATTACACAAAATTCTGTGCACTTTAAAAAAATCTACAAACTTACTTATTAGCTTAGATTTCATCTCTTCTTTCAAATGGTTAAGTCTCAAATGCTATATAGGACATTTTCAAATCTATGCCTAAAAAACTTCGGACCTGAATTTCATAAACTATTCCTATTGAAAACCACTTTTTTGAATAATTTACCTTAGCATGTAAGATTATACAGAACAAAGAAATCAGTGCACTGAGAGAAACAGGCTTTGCTCTAGCAGTTATAGTGAATGACTGATAAAATTTACCAAAGGTAATTTCCATAAATATAATAAATTTCCATGGCAGAAATGAACGAAACTTTTGATGACTAAGTACAAAATGAGATTAGTACAAAGAGGAGCAAATAATGTATTTGATAGGCCTACTTGTACAGCAATGATTGGTGCATTATCATACCTGTTTAATACAGTAAATATTAATGAAAATGATATAATAATTTTATTGAGATGAATAGAGTATACGTCTTTAAATTTAAAAACTAACAAAACATGTAGAAAGATATGTGTAGTATTTAAAGCAAACATTTTCAGTGCAATGGATGAAAAGCAACTCATTTATATTTCACCAAGTAAAAAAAAATATGAAACAAAAATGAAAGAATAACAATAATAAAAATACTTTTTAAGAAAATTGGAATAATAAATTTCAATTCATAAGTTACAATAAGTTACAATGTATTTCATACTATTCACTACAAGAATGAAAACTGATTAAGAATTTTCCATCAGTGCTTTCACTAACAATAGACATGATTCCATAAATCGTAAAAATATATAAAATAAAAAGATCCAACAATAAAATGTTTTATTTTATTACCACATACTTTTCAATGCTTTGAGAGGGGAGGGAATTACATATACATATATATACATATATATATTATCTGGTAATGCCAAGCAAAACAGACTACTACCATTTTTTTACCAAGGATGTTTATTCTTTTTTCTCACTGCTGCAATCCATTAGGAACTAAGCATTGCTACAATGCAATGGGTAAGTTCTAAATCCCTTTTTTAAAGGTACTGCTTCTTAAATGAAAATTAATATCACTTCATAAGGTATTCAAAAGCAATAATATGGAGCATTACTATTAAAAAATTAGAAAGAAACAAAAACTGAGTATTAAAAGTGTACTGAATAAAATACCATACAGGAACTTTCTGATAGACTTTATAGATTTCATCTATAAAGTCTATCAGAAAGTCTATCTATAAAGATGAAATCTATAAAGCATATATATCTAAGCTTCCTGTAGCATTAATGACTTCCTTAAGCTTTAATGAAACACTATGATGGTATAGATTAAATATACTTTCTGTGATTCATATATTATACAGATGTTTTATTATCTTAAAATAATTATGAAATTTTGTTGCATATATATAGAAATCTATATCTAATACTTTTGGTAAACAAACGGAATTTAAAGTACATATTATCACGTACTAATAGTTCATTAAAATCCTCTCAAATAACAAAGTCAAGTGAAAAAGAAAATATAGTACTATATTTTAGCCTAAAATGATAAAAATTTTTATAGGTAAGTAAAACAGCTCAAAGACTGCAGACACATGCTAACATCCTCTGTAACAAGCAACAAACATCATAAATTATTAAATCATTCAGAAAACAAAGACTAAAATCACTAAAAAAATATGAACAATGAATGGTCTGAGACTGATAATTTCAATTTTCAACTGATTAGTGGCTCCTTGCAGCCTTCTATTTACAATGTCACCAAAGGAAAGGCAGTACTTCAACTTTTCAGAAAAATACTCCCAGGATCTTGAAAATGTGTTTTTTAAAAATTTACGTAATATCATAATATAATCGGCAAGGATCAGTACAGGGAACTCACCCGAAATTTCGCATTTTTCTTAAGAATTTACAATTTCGAAGTCATTCAATTAAAATAAAAGCTTTACAAAATATATAAATTAAACATAGAAATGGTGTAAAATCACAACTTTCATGAAGCAATAAATCAAAACTTCACCAAAATACACAATAAATAAATAGAATACAAAATGCACTGAATAAATGAATAAAAACAATACACAATATTATATATATATATAAAATCTAAAATGAAAACAGACACAAATATTGATACAAAATTACAACACAAAATAAGTGTTTTCATAACACACACACACACACCAAAAAAAAAAAGTACGTATTCAGCTTCTAATTTCACATACAATGAAAAGCGAAAAAGAGTGTGTGATACTGCTTACTTTTGGTTGAGCTAAAGATTTAATTATTTCCATTTCTCTCTCAGAAACAACATTATGTAAAAGGATTATTTTGGGGGCTTTGAAAACCTCTTCTTTCTTGACAGGTTGAAGAAAATAATATGGATGTCCATTTGAAAAATACTCACACTTCAAATCTTTACTCTCTGCAAAGTTCTGCAATAAAATATACAACAGCATAAACCTATGTTATATGAAATACAGTCAAAAGTCCTTAATTCGGACACCCATAATCCGGAATGATCTATAATCCAGACATCAAAGCTAAAAACTTTCTGCACATGCGCATAGGCGTTTACGCATGCGCGTAAGACCTTTACAACTGTGCATATACATTTTCGCATGCGCATTTTATGTATAACGAATGGTATAAGCTAAAGTTATCTAATTATCTATTTCAGTTAATGTTGATAATTGCGTTGTTCCTTAATCTTCGAGTTGGATCCGGCTTATTATTTTTTGCAGACTGTAAGAGCAATTTTATAAAAGTAAACTTGAACTTTCGATTATGTCAAATAGAATTTCCAATGCTGGAGCTCCCAAAGGATCTACAAAACGAAAGTATGTTTCGATGTCCATCAAACAAAAAGTGGAATTGCTGCAAAAAATGGATAAAGACATAAAGAAGGTGACAGAGAGGTTAGTGAAAACGAAAAAATTTCCATTCACAAGTTAGTCGGTATTCTCGGCACAGCAATTAAGGGACTTGAACAGCGAAACTTTGTAACTGAACAAGAAATTATGTCTGTTTATAGAATTAAAGTGAAAGTATTATCACATAAAACGAAGCAACTTAAACAACTTACATTGAAAGAAATGTTTAATAAAGTAAACAAATAAATATTAAGTTTTTTTTTTTTTTTTTTTTTTTTTGTAATTTTGATACCCTTTAGATCATAATTGTTCTTTATTTCATAAGTTACAGTTTCATATTTTTAATTTTAGAATTTCTGCATGCCATCTTACGAGATTTAAACTGATGATCTATAATACGAAAAAAATCGATAATCCGGAATCGCCGAAGTCCGGATTAACGACTTTTGACTGTACAAGTTTCTATACATAAAAAGGCCTGGTAACAATTTTAGCAAAGGTATAATGGGAAAATGTTACAAATAATTTCAAATCCAATAAAAAGAAAGAAGTCTTTCATATTCATATTAAAAGGATACCTACAGTAATCTAAAATCCAGAATGATCTTACATTAGGAAATTGGGAATTTTTAGTTTTTTCCCCTCTCTAAAAGTAAGACAGAATTACATTCTAAAAGTAGTGTTTTGATTTAGAATATGCTTAATGCTTCATGCATGCGCAGTACACATATTTCCACAATAAACTATGTGAAAGTTCCTGATTCTTAGTTTCATTTCAGCACTAAATATAACACTGTTATGCGGAAGAAACACAACTATTTATTACCTACATGATAAATTATTTACTGCCTCCTTAGCCACTTTCTGCTTGGCATACATCTTAAACTGAAACATACTACAAAGTTCATCATTGATTTTACACCTACTGTATATCTTACATCACTGACGCTCAGGGCTTAATTTCTAAAATTAGAAGTGCCAGAGCTCTATGGAAGACCGTCAGCAAATAGGACAGGATAAATAAATAAATAAATAAAACGACTATTAAACTCATTAATAATTTTTAAATTAAACAGTCAATTACTATCAAATTAATTAACAGCTATTTAATTAATGCTTATTAATTGTTATTTAATCAGTAATTATATACAATTAATTAATTATAATTTAACTGATATTTATTACATAATTAATTATTATTTATTGAAAGAATTAAATAATTAAAGATTAAAGTAATTACATAATTTAAATTAAATTAAATGTAAAAAGATAAATTAAAATTTAATAAGCGATTTTTAACATAATTTTATTGCTAAAAATAAAATTTTAGAGACAAAATTTCTACTGAAATAGTTGTTCAATTACATAAAAGAAGTGCCACAGCCTTCTTATTTAGGGCTGTGGTGCGCTCTAGCTAAAATTATGATTTATTACAAAAACTAAGAAGCACCGGAGCTAGGATCCGGTGAGCTCCAGCCCAATTTAAGCTCTGATCGTAGGGGGGGGGAGTTCTTTTATCATCACAAAAATTAAATATACTAAAAGTATAGCAGATGAAAATTTAGATAATGCTAAAAGCAGGGCAAAACGGAATGAGGGCGTTAGCGTATGAGTGGGTGGAAACAAAAAATGAGGGGAATCTTTGTGAGAGATAACATTATCTTTGACCGCGGCTCTCTGCTGATATAATTATAGGCATCAAATGGATGTATGTCAGGGGTAAAATGAGTTCTCAATCTGACTCCTAAGTATAAATGTAAAGTTGCTGGTTACACTTTTCGCTCCCCTTATTTGGTTACATTAGTGGATACTGTGGGAAGACGATGTATAGGACGTACTTGAGCAGTCTCAGTATTTCACTCTTATCGTGTCAGGACTTGTGTTTCTCTTGATTTGCATTGGAAACATGAATGGTCCTGAATCAGAACAGGAAGCTTACTCAAGCTACGTTCAAGAAGGTGTGAAGTAGACAACACAAGCAGGAAGGCTATACGAAACCTTTTATTTTCAATACTTTACAGGTATTTCCAAACTTCAGAATACAGATGACCAACCACTTGTGGTCTGAACGTAAGAATATAAAAACTACTAACTAAAACTCTAACTAAAAGCTAACTTTGAATTAGTATACAAATGTCTAGCATTAAGACTGGCCTTTATTTAAAAAAAGGTACGTATGTAGTACGCTGAACTGCTAAAACTACGATACATCTGTAAATATCAAGAGGGCTAAACCTCTGGCCTTAAAGGCAACCAGCAACCGAGGGAAAACTCGTAAAACTACAGTGGCAAGCGGCTTGCTTCCTAAAACTCCTTCTCTCCCTCTCTTGGCAAAAAGCCACAACTTAAGTACTTAGTGTTAACAAGACAATTTGCATAAACAGCACATTTAATTCTGGCATAACACAGCATTTAATTCTGGCCGGAAGTAGAAAATAAGAAGTGACAGTACAGTTTTAAAATAAACGTTAGTAAAACTTAGGCTCCTTACAATTGTACTCGCTGTCCCTTAACGCACATTTAAGAACACAAATTTTCCTTCCTGCGAGGATAACTAACTATAACCATCGATAACAATACACTAGATATGATAGCATGGCAAGAAATTTACGCATTCCTAAACAAACTCCCCCAAATTTATTGCCCTTCTTAAAGGGAAAGGTTTCCCCATGTGAGTGAGGGGACATTACTTGAATGTCTCATGTTCTCACGAGTTTGTTATTTCTAGGCAAATTGAGTGTTGCAAGATCTGTTTATTGTTAAAATAAAGCATTAGGAATTCTAATTTTTTCCCCCCTGAAATTGTGGTTCAGTTATAAAAAGAAGTACCAGAGCTCATCTTATTTAGGGCTCAAGTGCGCTCCGGCTAGAATTGTAATTTATCTTAAAAATTTAGAAGTACCAGAGCCGGGCTGCAGCGCAATTTAAGCTCTGCTGATGCCAACCTGGCAATTATTTATTATTATTTTTTGCTTTCATCACAATATGACTATCAACTTATGACAGCTAGAGAAATGATTCACACAGCAACATTTAAAGCCATTCTTACTTCCTTGTATGAAGTAAAAAGGAAGTATTGTAATCGCAAAAAGTTTCAGGCAGCATATTTCAACAAAATAACCATTTTAACCGCTATCGAATGCAATTTAATGATATTTTTGCATGACATCTGTATGCAAGGACAGAATAAAAGACTCTTTTCCTCCAAAAAAATTATAAAACTGCTTTAAAATGAATTCTGAAGAGAATTTTTCATGGTGTCTGTAAGAACGTATGTGCGTACGTATCTTGCGTAACTTAAAAACGAGTAGACTCAGAACATTGAAATTTTGTATATAGGACTGCTATAACATGTAGATGTGCACCTCATATTTTGGTTGCAATCGGCCACACCAAACATATATGAATATATTTATATATATATATCCAATCTGTTACCCGGCTCAGTGATCTCAGTTTCTTTACTCTTATATGTTTGTAAATTGTACATTTTTTGCTTTAAAAATGATTGAACTATGTTGTTCTTATCTTCCAGTTATGGTTTTTATGCCATTAGTAAATCTGTATGCAATATTTTTAGAATTATCAACAATTTTAAAGTTGTTTAAGTGGAGAGCCACAAAGTCTAATAATTTTTTGATGGCAGCCATTGCTTGTTTACATTTGAAACAGCAGAATAGTGGATTTGTTGCCAATCTAGAGAAACTTAGCTTAGCAACAACAAAGATAACGCCTTCATTTATTATAGTGAATTAAATCATGCTTAATCCTTTATGAAATTTTTTTGAGGAAATAAGCATTTAAGATTTACTTCGTAATTTTTAATACAGGTAGCTTGAGAACTGAATTAATTGAATGAGAAATACTCAAGCGTCTGTAAAACACTGTTTCTTTTTTGTTTTGTTTGCTTAATTTCTTTTATACGTTGTTCTAGCTTTATTATAGTATTTGAATAGAACATGTGGCAATGATTAGATAATTCTTTAAATGATATAAATTTTGTGCATTCTGAGTTATAATATGAATGAAATATAATGCTGTTAAGTGAACCTAGCGCCAGAGTGTCGCTATGGTAAACAAATAGAGTGAATTTTAAAGAATGCATTTATTCTATTGTGGTTTATGCGCCGTCAGCGAAGTAGATTTAATTCAATCCAATAAGTTTAAATGAAATGCAAGAAAAATGCATATAATTTAATATTCCGTACAAAGAAGTCATGTGGTGTACACATTAGATTTTTTAAAAAATTTTATTGACTGAGAACCACACAGCATGGTAACCTTTTATGCTGACATTGCACTTGCAATTATAAACTTCAGGCAACTGTGCTGTGAGAAAGAGAAATTTAAGAGAAATTTCTTTCCATGTGCAAAATACAGATTTTGTTAATGATATTCAAAGGACAAATGATTACATTTAGTGTTGCTGGAATCAAGAATAACAGATTTACTATTCAGATAAGCCCTACATATATGTGGGAATTTACTTATTTGGAACTCTGATAAGCCTTAAAAAGCACACACAGGAAATAGACTTATAATAAAAAGCTAATATAATTTAGGCTTAATTTCACCATGGAATAGAAGAAAGACAAAATTTAAGAGTATGTCTTTCATCACCAATCTCACGATACATTGCTAAGCTATGCTAAAGTGAGACACTAATTGAAATCTTTAGCATGATTCTCAATGCAGAAAATATTGCTACTGGCAGTGAAGAAAGTAACAAAAAACGTTTGCTGAGAAGAAAAAAAATTTTGAATGATAATTTAGTTGAATTCTCAGCTTAGCATTTATAGGACTTGAATAATGGAACTTTAAAAGAACTGAACAAGAAACAATGGAAAATAACTTAAACAAGTTACATTGAGAGAAATGTTTAATACTGTAAACAAATAAATATTAAGTTTTTAGTAAATTTTGATTCCATTAAGATTATAAATACTTTACTGTTTCATAAACAACTATTTCATACTTTTAATTTTATAATTACTACATGTCATCTTACTAATTTAAAGTGATGATCTAAAATCCAGATAAATCCCAAAATCTGGAATCCCTGAAGTCCTGACAAGATCTTAACAAAGCTCTCTGACTTTGCACTGTACTGCATAGTAAGTCTAATTTTAATTTTTACTCTGATTTAATTATAGTTATAAATAATTTAATTAAAATATATAGTCAATTTAAGTGATTCATAAGTATAAAAGACACTAAATGCATTGATAGATAATAATAATAATAATAAAAACATTATCTACTTGTTTCTAGACTAAAAACAGGTTTATGCTTAACCTAGATTTCATGTGATTTATTATACTTATCTTTTAAGGTTACTTTTGAATTTCTTATTTTGGTTCGAATTTATGTAGACAAAATCCAATGCTCATCAACTAATATATATAATTCACATAAATATTGTGAATTATTTGAATCATAACTTTTTTAACATCTTTACATTTATTTATATAAATTAGTAAATTATTATCAACTCACTGATACAGATTCTGACCTACACAGCTGTTCATACTGCTCTCTTTCTGATAATTCACTGTCTAATTTAGAGGACTCAGAATAATTTACATCTCCATCTAACTGAACATCACCATCATCTCCACGTTTTGTATGAGCAGCATTTCTAATAGCATCTTCATAATAAGCTTTATTTCCTTGAGCTCTTGGATGGTCAGGCACTAATTTTGATAAAATTCAAAAGATTTAGATGAAAACTATTTTAACTGATTACAACAATGAAAAAGTTACATATGGATTTAGTAAATTTGTTTAAAAATAAGCACCACACATATAAATGGAGTTTTATAATTTAAGAATTTTTTATGAGATATATAAGATCTGTAAATAAAACAAAACAAACAACAACGGAAAAAAAAAAAAAAAAAGAGAGAGAGAGAGAGAGAGAGAGACTGATTGCATAGCACCCAACACTGCAGGTGAGAGTAGCTAAACCTCATACTTAAGCTGCAACTTTGCAGATTTCATATGTATTGTATTACTGCATTTTTCATAAAGTGAATTTCTTTTGCGATTATGAAAATAAATTATCCGAGTTTAAAAAAAAAAAAACAATGTGCGATCAAGTTTTGTTTCAAACTGCGAAGAAATGCGATTGTAAGTTTTTCAAAAATTCAACTCCAGAAATGAACACATAATATTAAAAACATAGGTTTTTAAATAGTTTCAGAAAGTTGAGAATCAACTGAAGGGCATTTGCTTGCTTGAAAGTTGCATCAACTGAAGGGCTTTAATAAAAAGAACATATGAAAATGCATACAAAATCAAGGCCCTTCAGCGGTCGAGCGGCAAAGTCGCTGAACACTGGTAGTTCGGTCCAAGGTTCGAATCCCGCGAACGGGCTAGCTGCATGGTTGTTTTCATGGTTTTCCCCTTGTGTAACGTGTATATGAGCCAGTTTCCCTTAGAAAGATCTCCACGAAGGCATCCCTCCCCTTAGGCAGATAGCCCTCGAGGCTTAGCCATAATTAAATAACCATACAAAATCAAGAATCTTGTGTAGTTAAATTGCTGACTGTGAGGGAGATTAATCACAGGAAAGCTAAATTAACTTGACATAACATTAAACAGACCTAGAATGCTTCATTATGACAATGCATCTCGTAATACGGTACTTTCTGTAACATCTTTTTTTGGCTTGAAAAACACATGTCTGTTGCTTCTCAGGCCCCAAATTTGCTTGCCCCTAATTGCAATGACTTTACCTGTTCCAAAGATTGAAAATCTATTTGAAGGGGCATCTGAATTCTGAAATTTACAGAAAATGCTAGAATCCATGACTGACTGCGTGAAGGCTCTTTCAATTTCAGAATTCCAGCACTGCTATAAAGAGCGAGAGCAATGCCTCAGGCAATATGGAAGTTCTACAGAAAACTATTTTGAAAGAAATTAGGTGGATCTGCAATTTAAATATAAACATAAGTGCTCCTAGAAAAAGTCTCATTATTTTATTTACAGATTGTATATGCTTTATTATGTTAAGTCTCTAAAATTCATTAAATTTCCTAAAAGAAAAATTTTCAAAAATTACTCTCCATGTACAATTTAAACATTTAAATGGGAGGAAAAATGAAAAAAATGCAAAAAAATTTTTTCAACAGATTGCCATATGAAAACTGATAATACTGCCGAATACACATTGTACACTATGAAAAACAAAATGGGACAGTTCTATAATGTCCATTCTACCATGCTGATTGACGAAATTCAACTTTCCTTTTTCAAATCTTGAAAACGTGACATAGGATATATATTAGATTTATAAATAGCATTGTTCTAACATAGGTATTTTGACACAAAATTGGACTTTTTCTGAAATAACATACCAATTTTTTCCATATTTCAATTCTGCGACTCAAAATATGCCTTAAATTTTATAAAATTTAGTGTGAAATTTACAGAGAAATTAAAAAATTTACCTTTGCACATTTTTTTTCAGTTTGCTCCAAGAATAATTCACTTGGCACTTCTTAATATATGGCAACCTATTTTCCTTTCCCTTCCATTGTGCAGGAGCGAAAAAAAGTCATGTCGTTCCGACCTTTTACATTGTGCATGAGCGGAAAAAAAGTCTCACTGTTCCTACATTCAAATAATTTTAGCAAAGTGCCTAAACCACATTTAATGTTATTATCGCTTTCAACAAATATGCCAAATTTCAAAACATGCTAATATATAAATTCACGTATATCTTCAGAAATTTCTAGTAAAAAAAAATGTTTTTTACAGATATGCTTAGAAATACATCTATTTTAAAGAGGTTATCACATATGGCAACAGTCCCTGCTAGACGAGACTTTTCTGAGAAACGAGATTCTGGTAGTACTGGTTTAAATGGGAGGATTTCTAGAAAAAAGAGACCCACTGTAAGTGACATCCTGCCTTGCTATGGAAATGATGTAGTGGCTATGCGGGATTTTTTCAAACCTCACCAAAAATATCCCGGTAGAGATCAACCAATCAGATGAAAGTTTTGCTTCTGAAGGATCATGTGATCCCAATCTGAGAAATAATTGATTACTGTTTGGCATTCAAGTCTTTGTAGTAAGTGAAAATGGTAACCCAGCTACGTAGGTTTCCTGGAAATGTGCAGGTTCTGAGAATTGTCCCTTCCAACTTCAAGTCGCGCATAGCTGAAATATAATGTGATTGAGACCTTAGATGATTTTAGTAAAACTTTTATAGATTATAGTTCAAAATTTTTTTGAAAAATTTATAAAAATTATTTAAAAATAAAAATTTTAAAAATAAATCATAAAAAATGGGCAAATTTTATTTGAAATGAACCTAAATTTCGACATACGAAAGAAAGAATCAAGTAAGTTTAATAAAAAAAGAGATATTAATAAATATATATCAAATTCAATTAACACTGAGGTGCTGATTTAGAAGTCAAACAACAAAAATCAGCATTAATTCACAAAATTTTCACAGGACTAGTTTCGATGGTTTTACCGAACCATCATCTTCAGCTGCAAAACCGCAAAAATTTTAGCACTGAGGTGCTAAAATTTTGAGAGCCAATTTTTTAAAAACTACTCATATGATTTTTACAAACTTGGCAGTTTTGAATAATCTGAGTCGTAGAATCAAAATATGGAAAAATATTGGCATGTCATTTCAGAAAAAGTTTTATTTTGTGACAAAATACCCATATTAGAACAATGCTATATATAAATCTAATACATATCCTAAGTCGTGCTTTCGAGACATGAAAAACTCAAGTTGAATTTTGCCAATTGGCCCAGTAGAATGGGAGATATTAGAAATGTTCCCCCCTTTTTTTGTGCAGTGTACATTGATGCAGGAGGACATTACTACTGTATCAATTTAGATATCCAAAATATATTGGGTTTTAACGAAAGTTTCCCACCCACCACAAATATCATCTGCACAAACAGTTCGTGTTGGAGTGTTTAATCATATTTTGTCAAACAATTTTTTGGCATTTGAAAGAGAGGGAGGCCTACTTTAGAACACTATGCTGTGCAATTTGTAAAAGAAATATCATTATCATTAGGTACAAGGTGTATGAAATGGAACTATCCCACTACCAGGTAAGAACTATCATTTACATCCAGCTCTGTTACAAAAAATCAGCTACAGAACGTCACTAAATCACGTGCATAGCTTTCAGTACTAATGTTGTCATATGTCATTGTGAAGGTTTGGTACCAAAAGTTCACAAACAAGGATTATGACGTTCAAGAAGCAAAGTGCTCTGGTCAGCCTACTGATGTTGATGAGGCCCGCCTGCGAGAGCTTATAGAAGATCAGTATGCAACCACTCGAGAGCTTGCTAAGCAGTTAGCATCAGTGCCATATGCATTAGTTGTGCTATTCATTGCATAAACTTGAAGTACAAGTTCAATTGCTGGATGTCGCATAAGCTGACTCAAGCAGATAAGGACAGATACATTCGGGCCTGCACTAATTTGCTCGAATATCAATGCAAGGACAAAATTCTGGACTGGATCGTCACTTGCGCAAAAGTGGATTTGCACCAACAACATAGGCTGAAAAGGGGGTCAGTCTGCACCTGGTGAGCCCATTGGCAGCATCGCAAAGTGCATTGACTAATACAAAGATTACGCTTTGCATCTAGTGGGATTGCCGTGGTATTATCCACAAAGAGTATCTAGAAAAATATAAAACACTTGACAGTAAGATGTACAGTGAGATGCTAGTCTGTGTTGACGCTGCAATGAAGGAAAAATGTCAAACTGAGTTACGGCGGAAAAAGGTAATGTTCGATCAAGATAGTGCAAGACCACGCGTGTCTGCATTCACTGGCTGGACTCTACATGGACTCGAATGGGATATTTTGCCACACTCACTATATAACCCCAACAATGCTCCTTCCTCTTTTCACACTTGCAGCTAAATCTTGCTTGTGCCATCTTCCATTCTACACAGGATGCCCGAAATGAGGCTGGTCTGGTTTTGGACTCGCGGCCACATAGTTTTTGGGGCGAAGGTTTTGAGAAACTACCAAACCATTGGCAGAAAACCATAGATTTGGGTGGTGATTACTACCTATACTAAAGGTACTGCTTTCATGTTTTTTTTTTTTTCGAAGTTTATTAAGAACGTTTTTGGTGGAAAACTTCCGTTACAACCAGATATGAAAGTAGTTAAAAACTAAATGTGATTTTTGTTAAGATATATACATTCTGATTTCAAATGTGTTTTTAATACATTAGAATACGTCCATTTTCAATACAGTGATATTTTTAGAGTGATAAATAGCCATCTAGATAATCCTAAATTATACCTTTTAAAGAAATATACGATGGTATCCTTATTTATGCTGTTATGATTTCATAAAATGGAAAAAGTGAGAGCTATTAATGGCATAAATGCAATACAAAAGAAAGAGTTCACAATCACAAAGTTCTGAAATACATAATGTATGATATAATGAGCTAATAGACAATCATTTTACTAACATATAAAATAAGAAACTGAAAGAGAGAAAAGTGAAACAATACATACTTAGATAAATGTTTTTCATTTAAATTCTCATGGGCAGCAATATGTGTTATTAAATATGAGTGCAAATAAATTTGTATTTTCATTTTACAAACAAATACTCCTGCCAACCCTGCCAAAAAAAAAATCAGGTATGGAATTTCATCCAATAAATTTGCTTAGTTAAAGAAAAAGAGAGAGAAAAAAAAAGTTAGGAAAGAAAAAAAAAAAAAAAAAAAAGAGGGAAATTATTTTCTAACAACATTTATACTAACAACCTCATGCTGTGAACCTTCCTCCAAAATTCATCTTCCCATAACAGCTGGGCCAGAGAAGAAAAATGACGAATCACATCCTAGACAGACTTCATCAGCAAAAGATCAGAGGACAATGCAGGGCAAGGAAGAAATGGGACATCCTGCAAGGCTTGTTAACTAATGAATGCCATGTGCAATGTTGCATTGTCCTGCTAGAAAATACCAATTTTGGAGCCACTGAAGATAAGGTAGCACAACCGGCTGCAGCTGGTTGTGATCGCATGATAGCTGGTCCTCAGCATACTGCTGTGCCATCAGTGTGCCTCTAATGCATAACAAGGGTGACCTGCTATCATGACTTGTGCTACCACAAACCATTATGCCACAATGACGAACGGTGCAACATTCAGCAACAGTAGTCTTATCTCCTTGACACCTCTAGACTCTTAACTGGTGACTCTCGCCAGACAAATAAAACCAAGACTCATCACTGAATATCACATTATGCCATTCAGTTGTCAAAGCGATTTGTTGAGGACACCATCGCAGTCTCTCACATTGATGGTTTGGCGTTAATAGTAGTCTTTGCGAAGGGCGACTTGCATGCAAGCTGCTTTCATCCAAATGTTGAGAAACTGTTCTTCCAGATACTGGAGCATCCAAAGCTCCCTGTACATTTCACAAAATGTCCATAGTAGTCGATTGTGGGGCAACCACTGATTCTCTTCGTATGCATCAATCCGTGCATTTTGTAGCATGTCTAAATGCATCTGGTCTTTCGCAACTATTTAAATTTCCTTCATTGATCCATCTAGACCAAATTCTATGCACAGTGGATACATCTACTTGCGTTTCGGTGGCAATATGATGGTAAGACCAACCAGCCATATGTAAGCCAAAAATTTGACCACTCAAAATCACCCATTTCCTGGAACTGCCTATGGTGCCATCATCCAGGCATATCTTCATTCACATGTGCCTTCTGGAACATTGAAATTCCTGATTTCCTAAGCAGCAGAGAGTAGCAATTATTGATTTGTTTGCCATTCCCTTCCCTTTTTTTCTTGAGCTATAATCATGTGACCAACATGCATCTTACATCTGTATGACGTGTTCTGCTATGCATTCTCCGAAATTTGCATATTTATATGGCCAAATCTTTATGGTGCTGCATTTTCTATGTTGGGCAGTGTATTAGTAAAAAAAAATATATGTTAAATGTTATGTAATTGTATACTTTATTTATTATAATACAATAAGAAATAAAATATAGGATTTTTTTTTACAGTAATCAGTCTGTGTTTATCTCTGTGCTGACATAGAACATGCAATGCCTGCATTCATTTTTGCACTGGCATACTAATTAAACTTGCATTTAAGCAAGGTTTTGCACTGGTATAAAACAATGAACATTATTTTTTACCAATGTAACACTTCCCCTATTTTTACAAATTTCTCTTTTTATAAAATAAGCAGCAGGAATTATTTAGTGGCAGTGGAAAAGAACAAAAAATTATGCTTTCTTTAATAATTAGATATACTTGCTACAAGTTCTTTTATAGACATAACAGCAGTAGTTTTTATGTAAAATCTTTCATAATTAAGAAAGATTATGAAATGAGAAAAGGAGGAAATAACCTTTTTCTCTAATATATCAAGATTAAATACAATTAAAAATTGAAGCTACAATTGATTTCTATAGCTTTTAATATACTGGTGTTAAATTTGAAATGCTGAGGCAGTAAGTGAGATGTATCACTAAATCTAAACGAGGAAGATAAATATTTTTCTAATACAGATACTTTGATTTGTAACACAAAAAATATACTTAAGATATACTAATTTATTTGAATACGGATAAAATAAAAACTGACAAATTACCAGTTAAACCACTAGTGATAAGGATAAAAATTTTGTATTTCCTATGATCAAGATATTCATCATAACATATTTCTTCTACACTGACCTATTTTCACATTAGTAATTTACTTGATTTTCCAAAAATCAAATGTTTTTAAACACTACTTTTAACTATAGCATTATTATAAACATCAACTTCTGGCAAAGAAGTTGAGGTGTTTTTCCAGATTTACATAAACAATAGTGACTTTTTTATGAAACTTTTTCAAAATGATCAGTTTCAAGCTGCAGACCTCTGAATCTCTTCAGCTGGAAGATAGGTATTTACCGTTTCACTACTGAAGTGCAACACTAGCTTATATCTGTTTGAATAGTCATTGAACTGCTGTGTCCTAAAATCCTCCTGCTTGAACTAAAAACCAACGTATCCTGGTCACACTACCTAACACTAGAGCCCTATTTTAATTTGGCCATTACTGCAAAATATAAGCTTTGCTAAGAAATTAAACCTAATATTCCTTTTATCTGAAGACAGGCATATAACTGCTGTACTAATGAAACCTCTAGGCAGAACAATTATTTTAAAATTTAATACCTAGTCTTATTCTTTATAGGGAAAATATGGATAAAAAATTACATTGATAGAATCATTAATGTTTCATAAAGTTGTTATTAAGAATGTTTTTCAATTTGAAATGCTTATTTTAAATATTCTTATCCCAAAACTAAATAATGCATAATCTTCTTCCTTATGAAATTTTAGAAAAAGATATCTTAAATAATGTCATTTAATTGTACTTATTGGGTGCATGCAAAAGTCCTACATCTTTTACAAATGCTAACTACTAGTGAATAAATTACACAGCAATAACATGAATCAATAAAACAAATTATGGCACTGAGTTTCAGATTAAATCACGTGTTAAACATTTAAAATGGTGAGCAATATGAAACATACATCAGATAATATTTACAACAGGAAACTGATAAAGACATTATCAAAGCCACAGCATTTTTCAAGTGTATGGAGAAGACAGAGTTGACAAAAACAGAATTCACCAATGGCTTCAGAAATTCTGGAAGGGAATGGAAAATATAAAGATCAACACATTTTGAATGGCCATTAGAGATTTAAAAAATGCTCTGGATTATGCTGCTGTGTCCTACCATCCTCTTATTCTAACTAAGAACTGATGTATTATGGTTGCATTATGTCTGGCACCAAAAAGCTTATTTTATTATTTTTACGTTCTTAGTAGTGAAAGGGACCCTGTAATGCGAGATGAGAAATGAGTACTGTATCATACCTTCAAATGTCAAAGGACTGTTTACCTAGTTTCAAAGCACAGGCAATTAATAAAAAAAAAAAAAAAAAAAAAAAAAAAAAAATTATCCCAAAAGGAAAAGCTGGCTAAAACATAGGGCAAGATAAGCAAATAAAGCATTAAGGAAAGAAGGCACTACAAAAGTGTGTTTAGCAATTCAATGAAAGGGAGCCCCACAAAAATTTCCATTAGCAGTTTTACCATGGATTGTATAATGCAACTAAACCAACATTGAGAAAGAAGAAATGGGGCGAAAACAGACTTTAGGGTTTGCAAATATTTTACTCAACGCCAGTCAAACGTTTTTATAAAGTGCATGGTAAAATGCAAAAAGAACACTTAATTGAGAGGTGTTAGCATTTAACTAACTGACTGAGCTCTATTGCTAACAACAAAAACTGAAAATTAGCACTTGGTCATTCTCAAACGTATAAACTTTCACCACAAAAATGCCAGATCTCAACTTAATTCAATCACTAGGCAAAAATTATTAGACTTTATCAAGAATGTTAATGCACCCAGAATATCTTCCTGGCTTTACAGACAACTACCTGTTTTGATCATAATAAAACAACTTTAACTTCCAAACCTCTGATGGTGGAAAGGCTGAAAAATGACACATTTTTTTGATCCCAAAACAAAGAAATTTTATTGATATGGGATAATTTAGCACCATACTGATGACAAGTAGTCCCATATTATGATGCAAATATATGAAATCATAAGTACTTTATTTTTTATGTTTTCTCCTTTTCTTCATTTTCAATTAGGAAACTAGTACAACTTTTGCCTACATCCAATATAAAAATGAAGAGTATATGCCTTATGTTATTCTGTTATCGTTACAAAATCTTTCAGACAATTGTTATTTCAAATGTCAAATACAACTAAATTTTTTTCAATAAATTGAATAGATAAAATACTCTCAATTTCCCAGTTAAAGAATTGAAATTTAAAAAAAAAAAAAAAAATCTATATCCAAGATGTTGTTAAATCCTTTCAAATAAATTTATTTTATAAAAAAGTTTATATCAACAGATTTAAACTAAGGAATCCCCACTCCCAGACTGGCATATCTAACGTATAACAGAAGGCTCACAACAAAGTTCAGCAATAGCATAACTGAGACCACAACCCCAAATGGCAGAAAACAGCTGAATATAGGCCTCAAGCAAGAACACAGCAGCCAACAGAAACATTTTCTCTCATTTATATCATTGATTAATTTGGATAAATATAAGTATGTAAATAATGCATACTTATTAGAAATAATTAACATTTAAGACACAGGCATCTTTTACAATTAAGTTGGAATGCACTATTTAAATTATGGAGAGAGGATGTAGTTTGACATTTTGACAATTCTGAGAAGAATTACAGTACAAAAAGTTGTGAACTCTTGTTTTCTCATAATCATCAAACTACCTACTACTATTTTAAAAAAAAATCCCCCCCCAGTTTTGAAGAATTACAACACTTTAATCATTTGGAATGAAAAAAGCATAACTGTAAAGTATTTAATTACTAATGTTAATAAAAGTCTATTTTAGAAAATACAGCAGATAGTCAGAACAATTAAAAGAAAGTTAATGAACTTTCTATTCTTACCTAATTCTAATAAGTCGATTGTAAGTTTCAAGGCATGTCTTGTATTCCCTTGCTAGTTACAAAAAATATAATAATAAATTAAACAATGAAAAAGGCTACATATTTAACATTAATAATCATAAGTAAAGAAAGCTTAAAAATTATTATTCACTTCCCCAATTACTTTAAACTTTTTCAGTCATGAAATAAAACTATTTTAAAAAACTACAATACCCTCAATAAGCACAGTTAGCTATAGTTCAATAGGAATATCACCTCAATAAATATTTGATTTAATTGCTTTGCTGTGACAAAGGTTTTTAACACATCATTTTCTGTCATTTAAAAAAAGTGAGAAAATATCTCATTAAAATCATGATTTAAATCATTGACACCCTGAACTTTACTCAGCAATTTCTAAAAATTCACACACACATATATATATTGGTTTTGACATTCTTTTAATTCTTTGTTGCATTTATAAGATTATTTGAAATTTATTAATTATAGATTTCAATTTTTGGTTTTTTGTTAAAAATTAGTTCTAATTTTCCTACTTTATGTCTTTAATTTTATATACACAGGGTGTTTATAAAGTCCTGGACCCATTTTGATGTTTAATAACTCATAAAATAATAAAGATTTAATAACATAAATGATTAGATAGACTCAAAAACTTTCATGACCCTTGTCAATGAACTTCCACGTGTGCCCCCTTTGTTGCGCAGAGAATATCAAGTCGATATTCAATTTCACGCCAGGTACTGGCAAGCATGTCGGCATCCACAGAGGCTATTGCGGTTGTAGGTCATCAATGTTCGACATTCTCCTCCTGTAAACATTGTCCTTTACAAATCCCCAAAGGAAAAAGTCCAGCGGCGTTATATCAGGTGATCTGGGTGGCCAAGGAATTGGAACTCCTCGCCCAATCCATCTTCCTGTCAAATGGTCATTCAAAGAACTATGAACGATGGTACCCCGATGAAGTGTGCACCATCTTGTTGCAAAAAGACATGTAACTGAAGCTCTTCTAGTTGTGGAAATATGAAGTTTTCCAACATGTCTAAGTATACAACTGATGAGACCGTCTTTCCTGTAAAAAAGAAAGGCCCAATGACTCGGTCGTGCATTAGTCCACACCACACATTAACCTTTGGGGAATCCCTTTGTGCCTCACGATATTCATGGGGGTTTTCAGATCCCCATATGCGCACATTATGGCGATTAACAATGCCAAAGATGAAAGGATGCTTCGTCGGAGAACATTATGCACTTCAGAAATTCAGCATCATTTTCTATCCACCTTAGCATATCTGTTACAAAGGCCATCCTCCTAGGCCTATGGTCCGGTTCCAAAACTTGAACAACTTAAACTTTGTATGCATGCAGTCTTAATTTTTTCTTAATAACCTTGTACACCATCGAAATTGGCATATCCAATTCTCTTGCTGCTGATCTCACAGATCTTCTACGATTGTGTAAAAATGTCTCTCTGACACGCTCAGCATCAAAATCACTTGTGCATGGACGTCCAGAGCGTTTATTGTCTGCGATACTTCAGTTTCTAGAAAATTCTTTTTCCACCACAAGATGCTGCTTTTGGATGGAGGATTGTTTTGGTAAATTCTTCTGCAATCTCTCTGTGTTTGCATTATGGATTTTGTTTCTATGAACCACCATAAAATCTGTGCTTTCTCTTGTGGTGTATGCATTCTTCTTAATATCCGATCGAATAAAACATCACATACAAAAATACTAGAACAAACACATCAAAAGTAAACATAACATTGCAATAGTTGCCAAAAACAAAAGAGAGAAAAATGCAGTTAATAAGCAGACGATATTTAGAAAAGTACAGATATTTAGACTGGAAAATGAAATTATCTGAAATTAACCACACGCACAGACGATATTTACAAAAGTAAATATATTCAAACCTGAAAAGGAAATGATATAAGTTATTCCATCAATAAATGTCATAAGTTTGTTTATATCTTCATTATTTTTATGAGTTATTAAACATCAAAATGGGTCCGGGACTTTATAAACACTCTGTATATAAAGAACTAGAAACTAAATACTTAAAACTAGAGAGTAAACAAACAGCTAAGTAAGCTAATACTAAATAATACTGATAAGAAATGTGAAAATACAATCATAAAATATTATCTGAGGCTGAAGATACAGTTTAAATTAACATCCTAATCCAATTATTTTAGAAGTCAAACAACAAAAATCAGCGTTATATTTGAAAATTTTTCAGAACTAATTTCGATGCTTTGACTACCGAACTATCTCCATCAGCAAACATCATCATCAGCAGTTTGCTAATCAAACCATTGAAACTAGTTCTGGAAAATCTGCAAATATAACGCTGATTTTTTGTTATTTGACTTAATTAAATAATCGTTGTTCAGCGTGTTATTTTAACCTAAATCCTAATCCAATGCTGATTCTGCAGATTTGGGTAGATTCTAATTTGACAAATTTCATGCAACTCATTACTTCTTAAAGTTATTCAAGTTTAACAAGAGATTAATCATGGGAAAAATATTTTTAAATTAACAAGGAAATAAAGCAATATACAAACCATATAAGTTGAAAATGCAAGATATTCAAGTATTTCAGCTTTATCTACTGTTTTGTTTGTTTCTTCAGAAACTCTGTCTAATGCTTCTTGCATCCATAAAATAGTATGATAATGATCTCCATTATTATACGATTGTCTTCCAAGTTCAAAACAGTCATTAGCTGATAAGAATAAAGTTAGTACTTATGACTTTATTTTTATGCTTAGAATTAAAAGATAAAAAATATTAAATATTAAAATGCAATAATAATCAACTTTTCAATAATTAAAAAAAATTTTAAATGTATTTTTAATAAACTACAGAATTTTTCATTTATAATTTTAAATTAATGACAGGTTTAAATACTATTGCATAAAAAATCAAAATAAATGACTAGAAAAGTACATATTAAGCATCAATATTAGCACTTTAAATTATTGAAATTGTATTCAAAATAACATCTTGAACAAATTACAAAACTTTGTAAGTAGCTTTAATAAGTCTTAACCTTCTGACTGCTCAATTTGTGGACCAAAATCACTTCCAAAACTGCGTAATTTTAAATTTTTTTTTTTTTTTTTTTTTTTACATATTTTAAATCTATATATGAGAATTGAAAAATGCACTTTTTCTTCCTAGAAAATATTTTTTATATAGATTTTTATCATGAGAAACTAAGTTGCCTGAAAAATCAATTTCAGATGTTATCAAAAAAAAAAAAAAAAAAAAAATTTAAAATAAATTTCAGTTGAATTACAGTTAATTTCCATTTATTGCACAATATAAAAAAGTAAAATTTAAGAATATATTTTCTTATAAGCGCTGAGGGAAAAATACTTTAAAAAAGCAGTTTAGTATGATAAGAGTTTACAGTTTTTGCACCAGATTCAATAAATCTAATTAATAATCAATCTAATCAATAATTTAATTAAATAATTAAGATAATCACTGAATGTTTTCTAGCAGATATTTCTGTAAGAAAAAAGTGGCAAAAAGTGAAGTTTGATCGCTAATACCACATGCCTTCAAATGCCGCAATTTAGTGAACAACCAACAATATCTGTTGGCTAAAACATAAACTAAACACCTAATACTGTACATAATTTATTTCAATGGTTAAATGGGGGAAAAAACGGGATGCACTCCTCAATAAAGGAAAAAAAACATATGCAGCGGAAATCGCGGTATGATCAGCCAGAGGGTTAAACAAATTAAAAAAAACTAAGCCTTCTTGTCATAAATAATTAAAGCTCTGAATTTCTTTAAGGGGAGTTGCTCTCTTAAAAGCAGTTAAATCTTGAAAGCTATATACAAGTCACTTTATTGAAAGCAGCCACATTATCTTACAGACAATTATTTATCTACACAAGCTACATTATCTCAAAAGCTACATACAAGCCACTTTACTGAAAATAATTACACAAGAGAAATACAGGCATTATCTACGAGTTCAGGATCGAAGCATAATGGATCCATGTGGACGGATTCAAGTTAATTATCCAAACATAACTGAAAATCAGAAAGCATCAGTATGTGCCCTTAGTAATCTTTAGTTTTTATATACTTTTTTGCCATCAAAAACATAAATATCATATCATTTGCATATTTATGAAACAGCTAAGAAATACATTATACACACGTATAAAAGTACACTCAAATAAACCTAAGCATAAAATACATACAATTTATATAGTGAACTAAATAAAATATTTCATTACCACATCAGTGAAAAATGCAACAAATATTTTGATTCTTACATAAATGAAAAATGAATGCATATTTGAATTATAATTTATTAAAGATTTTGAAAAGATATTTCATAAGGAATTTAAAAAAATCTGAAAATTTCTGTTAAAGGAGATAGAGACTTTGATGGAGATATGAGGAGGTTAATGCCTCTGAAACTCCAAGGTTAAAAGTGACAGTAGCTGAGAATGTGCCATTTGAAATGGAAAAACAAAGAGATTTCTTCATTTGGCTTTCTCTAAGTCGTCTTTTTAATTTTTAGCCATCTACTTTTTTCAGAATTTCTTTTGAAACTGGATCAACCTTGTTCAAAATATAATTCAATAATCTATTTGGTAATTCTTCTAATTTTTCAGTTACCAATATCATAGCCTAAGCCATATCATTAGGCACGACTTCACATTCTGTGCTTTTCACCTAATCAGTTAATTAGTTTTCATAAGTTATGATCTTATCATGCAACTTGAGCTAACTTGCACTTATTTTTCTAATTTCTTTACCACGTCAACTGCATTAGAAATGATTTTCAATGAATTCCCAAAACTGGAAATTAGCCACAAATATGGATTAAGTTCTTCAAAACATCTCTTTAAGCTGTTTGTCTAATTTCCTCCAATGCAACTCTTAATTGTTTTAATGCTGTTTTAAATGGAAAAATCCTCAGAGCTTTAAAAAGAAATATATAATAAAATAGGTTGAATGAGCATACAATGCAACAAATACACAGATTTCAGATGTAACTGAAAAGGACTTGAAAGAGTAAATTATCAAAAAGTGAAGAATGCCCATACTGAAAAAGTATATAATGGTTCTGATTTATACATCACATTAAAATATAGCATAAATTGCAGATGCAAAAACTAACAATACAGTACTCTAGAGTCCCCATTTCCTGAGTGTAGCGTCTTGTCCTTCAAAACTCTACTCCTGAAAGTAAATAGTGCCCCCTAGGTTAAGGAAAAAAGTGAGTTGGAGACTGGCTTTCGGTGGGAGAAGCCGAATGTTCAGTGTAGTGATTTTATAATCAACAGTCCTGCCCAAATTAACATATTTTCTATTTGTATAAAGTGCATACAATCTATGTTATCATCACATCCTGATGTACTGTAACACACCTTTATATTAAAAAATATTAGGTTTGTGAAAAATCAGTAAACAGTAATTACAGAAACATAGAAATTACATCATCTCTTCGAGTTCAGATTAGCCTGAATTTTCGCTGCAGAAAGCAATGAGTTGAATGTGTAAGCAGATAATCCATACACATTTCAGCAATTATAGGCTGCAGTGATGACCAACATACAATCCACCACACTGCTTAATACATACCCTGAGGAAAATCTTTGCCAACATACAGAAATATGTACAGACATGGCTGGATGTCAGTGGGACACTTTTAACATCTTTTACAGAAACAGAATTATGAAGTAGCTTGATAAGTCATAAATTTAATATATGATACTTTTACAGAATTATGAAGTAGCTTGATAAATCATAAATTTAATGTATGATACTTTTTAGACACCCCGTAAAGAGCATTTTAAACAATTTGTTAGCTGGGGGAAAAGGAGTAGTGCCATGGAAAAATTTTTTCTTTTAAATAAATCTTAGACATATTTTATATTTAATGCAGTTTTATCATCACTAACCTGGTAATCAGCAATTTGGCCTTAATTTCCCAAAGAGTAAATTCAGATTTTCCAAATAATTGCTCAGAACTTCTATTTACTGTTTGATGACACAAGATGCTGCATTATTTATTTTGCAACTTTTCAAACCCTAAGACAGTACTAATTCGTTCTGTGTACTTTTATCATAACTTGCTTACATATGGTTCCAGTCATGGTTATAATGAATATAAAAGTGTTTTTAATGATGTGAAGCAATGCCACTATATTCTACGAAAAACACATAAAGTAGAACTTCTGAAAGAATTTGACACATTAGAAACACTTTGAATTAATTTTAATTATCATGAGTTAATAAAAATTCTATAGAAAGCCAGCAATGTTTCTGCTTGTAAATGCAAATTGTTCTATTTGAACAACATGTATATATAAGCAGAAATATCAAAAAGTGCTAAATAAAGAAAAAATAAGCACAGGAAAATTCTTTTACCTGTTAACTCATGTGATTGCTTAGTTCCTGATATTTGCCCACGAGCTAAGGTAGAGGTATCCAATTTATAAGTATCTTGCAATCTCAGTAGTGCTTCAGCAGCCCCAGTGAGATCTTCATCTTCAGGAAACTTCAAATCCTCTCTTGTTTGTGTGATATTTTCAATAAGATCTAAAAATAATGAAAAATTTTAAAAACCAGAATTTATATTCAATAATAAAAGTCATTTTAATATTCTATGTTATTTTATAAAATTAATGGTCAGATAATTTCAATGAGTGAATTCATTTGAAAAATAATACTAAGAATTTCATGTTATATCAAATTACAGTTAAAAATATTAATTTTTAATATTTTTATAGACAACTGCATATATAATGGCTATTTTCAGAATCCATCAATACATTTCTTATTGGTATCATTGACTTATTGTGCTGTCTTCACCTTAAAAATTCACTGCATAGCATTCACGATCAGATTCTTGAAGAAAACTATAATCTATTTCTTTCTATGGCTATATAAAGGAAATTTTTTCCCCCTATTACGTATACACACATCAAACAACTTTCTACAGAAACCTATATATACGTCAATGCTGCTTATTGCTCACTGTTGAATTAAATGGGTTTTTCTGATTTCTTACAATAATATTCTTATTTCTAAGCATGTATTGTAAATAATTTTTTTAATGTTATTCTGTTTCACTCTTTGGCTATGGAAATGACTAATCTAAGAGATATATTTCTTATGATCAGCAAAATTTTACCACAGTTGACATGAAGTTAATGACAAAAGTGTGTTTCTTGCTAGAGGTATCAAGTTGATACTTTGTCAAGAGAGAATTATTTAGCACATCTAATGGAGAAGATCTACACAAGTTCTTTAGTAAAGGAATTAAACACAATTCTATATCTGTCGTTCTCTCATGACACTAGAATACTGGTTGTTAATTTCATATCAGAAGTGCAAAGGACATGTGAAAAATTCCTAACTATGAATTAGCATCTGCCCAATAAACTGCTCATGATTACTGTGACAAAACATGATAAATCTGACATGCAAAGAGCAAAGATTATCATGCTTTACAAAATTTAAGAATTGCTTAAAGTTTAACTTAATATTAAAAAAATGTACATGCTTTTAAAAATTAGTAAATAATTACAAAGCATTTTATTTTCTCTGCTGCTTTGGAAAATTATACAAAAATCAGTGACTGCTATAAAAATTTAAATATAGCTGCAGATGAAATATTCTGAAAATTAAACACAGACCTCTTAAAGTAAGAACAGCAAGATGTATGGCTTTTCATTAGTTGTTCACTAGTTGCATTGTTATTCTTGCACTAATTTCAATATCTCTTATTCTTTCTGCAATTAAAATTTAATTTTTGATGACACAAAGAGTAAAGCTTGGTATTACTTTTTTGATGCATCTGTTTCACACTTCCCGTGTGCAACTGGTGTTTGGAAGCAAAAGCATTTGATCAACATTTTCGATAAAATGATGGGATGCTTAATCACCTAGGGCCAAAAGTGCATTCTCAGTTTTCCCTTACAATTGTGACATTTAATACTGATGCCTGTTCCAGAGGTTTATAACTTTTATTATTTTCCACAAAAAGCTTTCATTTTTTTTTAAACAGTTATTTGTAACTTGGTCAGCTTAGTGTCCTGCCAAACTGAGTTTTATACGAGATTATTTTATTAAAATTTTTAGTTATACAGTACAAAGTCTGAAATCTGGACATTCAATAGACAAAAGAGTGATCTAAATCTGGACCTCTGGATCACCAACTCTTTTTTTTTTTTTTTTTTTTTCAGAAATTTTTTTGTATACTTTATGTTTGTGCTCCATATATTTTTTTCATAAAACATGTGAAGAGGGCTGATTCTTCATTTCACTTCAGCACTAAATAAAATACCTTCATATTGAGAAAACAATCATTTATTACCATAAATCTGTATGGTCAATAATTTGGCTCCATAGCCACCTTTTTTGGCTTTTTTGCTTGGCACATTTCTCAAACCGAAATGTTTTACATCAAAATAAAATTAATTTTGCACCTACTGAATAATTTGCATTCCTAATGTCAACCTGGGGAATCATTACTTATTATTTTTTGCTTTCATCACCACATGACTATTAACACATGCCAGTTTGAGAAATCACTCATGTAGCAATAGCTAAAAATTTTTTTCTTTTAATATTAGTAACTGAATACCAAAGGGTACGGTAATCTTTTATGCCGACATCATGCTTGTTAATGATTAGACTTCAGCTGCATCATGTAAAGAAGTGTGTTGGCAAAGAAAAATTTAACATAGATGTTTTTTCCATAACAAACAAACTTTTTTTTTTTTTGTAAATGATACCCAGAGGCCAAAAGATTACGTTTAATGCTGTTTGAATTGAGAACAACTGATTTGTTATTTAGATAAGTGCCAGAGGTGTTGCAACTGCACTTGCCATCAAAATTTTTAGAACTTAGAGAAGCACTGCTACAAAACTAAGGGATGGCACAATCTTCAGAATTTAGAAATTTCAAATTTCGGACCTGAAGAAACAGCAATGGGCTGCAAATTTTCTAGTGCTGGTCTTGGATTAGTCTTAAGTATACGTGCGAATTTATTTATTTGGGACTCAGATAACATTTAAGCATGTGCAGGAAATAGGCATAAGTATAACAAGTAACTAATACAATTTAGGCTTAACTTTGCTAGCATGCAATAGAAGGAAGACAAAATTTAGAAGAACAATACGTTTTTAGATGGCAATCTCATGATACAAAGGCAACAGTAGACAGTGGATGCTACCTAAGCTTTATGATGATATCCATGAATTTGAAGGTTTTCTACATCACAAATAAGAGAAATTTTCCAGTTAATGGAATTTACGAAGAAATGTGAGGTCGAAATTAAATGAAGATGATATAATAGAAGTTTTCCATTGCAATGACAATGACCCATTCATCAACCAATTAAAGAACGGTGAAATTTATAATATGGTTCTAAATCCAGAAAATAGGACTACTGATGGTGAAAAATGTAACAGAGAAGTTGTTGAGAACGAAAAAACTTTGTGTGATAATTTAGTTGGGAATTCTTGCCACAGCAGTGATAGCACTAAAACAATGGCACTGAATGAGAAATTAAGTCTACTTACAGAATTAAAGAGAAAGCATTAGCACATAAAATAAAGCATCTTAAACAACTGTAAAGCAAAGTCAGGCCCATTGACCTTCGTGCACACACAGTTTAGATATGTAGCCTATAGGTGGTAAACAGTGGCGTAACTAGAACTCTTGGGCCCCTATGCAAAAAATGTTCTTGCCCCCCCCAAAAAAAATACAGTATTAAAAAAAGAAAAGAAAACAGAAAAGAAGAAAAAAATCTGAAAGGTTTAGATTTTAACGGTCAACCAAAAGGGTTTGTTAAAGTTTTTTACCCTGCGCACGCAGTCTACCAGTTTGCTGTTGTACTCATTCCTGCTAACCGTAGCTTCCCCCCGCTTTTTTTCCTTTGTATGTATATGTCTTTTTAGCTTTAAAAACTAGCCATTCATACGGCCAGCCACATAATATAGTTATCATAAAAAAGAATGATGATTTTAATCAGCTAATATAATTTCATAAAAAATACTGAATACTTCTAATTAAACATGTCATGATTTTAAACATGTTTGCTTAAATGAATCATATCAGAAAGTAGTAAAAAATGTTCTTAAGAACAGCGTTTGTTGCTTTTAAAACGCTTAGTTTATTATTCAGTAACCTTCCAGATTAAATATGAAAGTATCTTAGGCTTTTCTGAATAGCAACATGGTGACGCGTGGAAGACAAAAAAGTTTTACTTCTATATAAATGGCAACAGATTGTTTTCACAGAGACGACTTTGTCAATTAAAACTGAAAGATAAATAAATATCTTAAATTTGTGCACAGGTTTGGGTGAAGGAATACGTTATTAAAAATTTAATGACTCTATAGGTACCGTCGCTTTTCTTAAAATGCAAGAAACATACATTAATGCATGTAGAATCTTCATTATTTAATTTCTTTAAAAATAATACTGGGCGAATAATATTTGACGGCAACAATTTGATAAGGGATATGCCGTTTATAGTGAATCCAAAGCAAAGCGTATTATACTGTAAACTGTAAGAATCATTCACATTTATGAATTTAATTTGAAGTTTAATACTAGGACTGATTTTTGGAGTGGGTTAATGGAAATGCCAGTAACAGATTAAATATATGAACAGAATTAAACTCTCGAAATTATACGTTTTGAAAATTGAGAACTGCAAATGGTATACCATTAATTTCTCTTTTATTTTTGAAAAATTCATTCCAAATTAAGTATCAGAATCATGCCTAGTTACTTCTTTGATTTATACTTCAAAAATTTATATAAAATAATACCAGTTTAATAAAAATTATTGTACTTGTTTTCAGGCATCTGGTAATTTAATTCTTGTAATTTTATACCTTGTTACATATTTTGTTCCATTCATATATGCCTATATACATATAGATATATATAATTTAATGATTCCATATTAACTAATATGTATATAACCAAAAATTGCATCAATAATGTATTTCTCAGTATGATTAACTTCATTCTTAAGAATTTTCTGCAGTCTAGTTTGCGTTATTTTATAAGTCCCGAATCAAAAACAATTAAACAGGGCGTTAGAAAATTAACCAAACAGTAGCCACCCTCAATGTATTTGTAATTTGGTAAACAGTCCTTAAACGTGAAAAGATTGAAAGACATTTGAGTTACGACTATTTTCTCAGATACTCAGATATTTCGTATATATGTAACATAGCATTCGAAATGCAAAACTCAATATTTGCACTACAAGCTGCCCAGTTGGTATAGTGGTCAGTGAAGCTGACTGCGATGCTGAAGGGCCTGGGTTCGAAATCCCGGAGAAGGCATGGCTGTAACTGTCCGTCCCTTCATAGGATAGGCGATGGTGGCCTACCTATTAGGTGCTTCTATATTAAAGAGACCATGACATCTGGCCTTGTATAGATTAATGGACTGGGTTACATTTGTAATTGTTCACAATCTGCCGTTGGTAAAATAAAATAAAATAAATAAAATATTTGCACTACAAATCCATTGAAGTAACAAATACATGTCTTTCTACTCCTATGTTTTTAGAAAAGATGCTCCTTGCCTTATAGTTTATCGTTCAATAATCCATTTTCATAGTAAACAAATTGCATTCATTCAAAAAATTCAATTTGTTTTCTTATTTTCGTCTCTATAGAATGGAATGTAGAAAAGTTAGATTAAATGACCCTCACATTTTCCCACGACACCGAAGAGCTCAGTCTTCCCTTTTTCAACATTTCCCGTGTTTAGGGTCGTTTGTAATTTATGACTTGACCACATTTGATCAGTATTCATTTAAGCCATCGTCCGAATACCGTTAATTTGTTATAATTTCACATCACTCTTCTCGTTTCTGAAGGCAATTTATTCAGCTAAACTTTGGCTCATCTTTAATTAGAAGTACGCATATTTAAAACATAACTAATACAAATGGGTAAAAAAAAGTCTTCTTAAGATAAAACATTTATGAAAAATTTCAGAGAAAAGCTTTATAGGAAACTTTTAGGCAATATTCTTATTTGGCCTATATTATTGTATGAAAAGTTTCTATTGGGTTTCTGCATCTCTCAAGAAAACGTTCATTGTTTATGTAAGATTGTTTTCTGTTCCCCTTTATATTTTCACTGATTTGGAAAGTGAATATATAAACAGTTAGATTTTAAGAAAAACATGCTAAAAATGTTAACACAGTGGACGCTTGTTATAACGGCCGCTCTATTCCAATGACCAATATGAAACACCTACAATTGATGACAGTCTAATTTAGGTAAATTTCGCAATAACTATCATTCGTTATAACATATTTTTTCTTCTGTGCGATGTAAAAAGTTCAAATATATTTACATATCAATAGCTTATGAATCATATTGAATAAGATTTTCTTATGAGTTTAAAAAATAATTAAGCAATGAAGAGGCCTTTGATATTTTTTCCTCAATTTATATACACAAAAAGATATTTTTATCTTTTTTAAAATTTTCTTCTGGAATGAACCATTATCATGAGATATAGTAAATAAATGAATTGTATAACCAAGTGTTTAAAACACGAATTGATGTGTAAAATCTACAATGCCCAAAAGAAGTAGTCATTTTTCTCCTTGGCCAACTGACTCTTTTCTTATACGACAAAATTTGACATGTGGCTGCAGTATAAAATCACTTCCTGAAACTAGAATTTCCGCGAAATTCTAGTGGACTTCACGGGGGCCTGACTTCCTGTATCGAATTCGAGAGGTCCGTGGTTCGATTTCGGGCGGGTTCAAGTCTCCTGCTTCCAAAAAATACCTAATGTCTCTACAACTTGAAACTATCCTCCAGAGGGGAATCAAAACTAAAGCATACAGCCTCTTTTTTTTCGGGGGGGGGGGTATTCAGTGCAACACTGAATTCAGCTGTTATATCTGCTTGCAAGGACCCCTATCTGCATCATATATACATACATACATTTAAAATGTAGTTCAGCAGGACATTCAAGGGCCCCTTATGCCTTCGGGCCCCTATGCGACGGCATTCCTTGCATACCTTTATTTACGCCACTGGTGGTAAAATAATTTCCCCTGAATTGAGGAAAAATCCCCTAATTTCAGAAAGCTTCGACTGACACCTTTTTTCTTCTTTGCCATTTTGCATAAAATCCCGAAAAGATCGAATGTCAGATTTTGTACTGTACTGGGACTTTTTTCTGTAAATTTTGATTTCCTTAAGGTTTTAAATGCTTAATTATTTTCATAATTCACTACTTCATATTTTTTATTTTATAATTTCTACATCTTACAAAATTTAAACTGTTGATCTAATGCCCAGAATCACTGAAGTGCCAATGAGAGTAGATTTTGAACTTTAAAACTACTGTACTTCAAAAAACCTTGTATTATTCATTGCCATTTTCAGGATTTCCAGATTAATTTAATATTTTAATAATAAGGCAATATTTGCAATATTGCATGACAAAACATAATGTTAAACAACTTACATTTACCATTTTTTGTTTTGTTTTTGTTTGTAACAGGGAGAACTTGCACTTAGACATATATAGATTGACAAATAATAATAATAATAAAAGGGTTATTTGGCTTAAATTCTAATTATAAATACTATTGCCTAAACAGAACTTACCTCTAAATAATGAATACAAGTGATCACTAATTAATTGAAAATTTGTTGACACAAGTATTAAATTATTCAATTAATTTTTACAGCAGTGCAATCTGCTGATAAGATTCATCATAAGCCATAAGGGATAATATTTGCAGAAGTATTAATGCCTCCATTGCAAAAGTTAACACTCATAGCGATACTTTAAAAAAGGTAAACATGTTTCCAGTAAACAGGCATCAGTATTTTCACTTGTTTGTTATCAGCAATTATTAAATCAGATTGCTTAAACCTTATCAGTACTTAAACATATTCTGGCTGATCTTTGGAATATGGTAACTGGTAGTTTGGCGACATTTTGGAGGCGATAAAGGTTACTACCTAGGACTTTGGTAATAATGTGAGAAACACTCAGTTCCGATTACGCATTATTTTGTGTGAGGGAAATGAGAGATCATGAGATATGTCATGTGACATTAATGGACGAATTACAGTTGTTTAATCGGAAAAGGGGGGGAAATCTGGAAATTTCGTATTTAGCTATATTCTGTGTTGCGTGAAATGTGACATTAATGGAAGAATTACAGTTCATTAATCGGAAAAGGGAGTTAACTTGGAAAGCTTCATTGTGTTGTGTGAAATAGTGTTGATTATTTTCGGATTGCATGGCGCTATGTAAAGTGAATTCTAAATTTTTAATGCGTTTATCTGATAATAATATAAGTTGAGATTGTGTGAAACGAAGGATATTAGAAGTTTAAATGGCTGTGCAAGAAAGAATATGGTGATGAAATGGACATTTTGTTGAAAAGGAGTGTAAGGAAGGGGACGTTGGTTACTGAAAGTAGTTTGAGTATAGGTGAAATTTTATTAATTTCTTATTACTTGGTGAATAGACTTCCAGTTGACTACTGGATTTAGGATTTAGAAATTAGCAGTAGTACTGCAGCGACGTAATGAAGATTCTGAAGAAGATTAGGTAAGTTAGTATTTTTAATCATTTGAGGATATTATTTTTATGCATTGTTCTAAATGTAAGGAGTAAATAAATTAAAATGGTATTATTTGAAAATTGTTATTAGCAATGATTTAGTTTAAAGTAATTAGGATTGTAATCTAATTTTATTAATTTAATGTATGTGCTTATTTATATTTTAAGTAGTGTTTGTTAATTTAATTATATTTTAATTTAATGATCGTGATTTTGTGAGTTATATGTTTGTAGTATTTTGGAATATGTTTGAGTAGTATACGTTGATATTTTCATGCATTTTCATGAAATTTTTCTAATTTATGAGAAAAAAGCAGTGTACATGGATATAGTGAAGAGTGTGCGCAATGCCATTTTTGTGCAATTCTGGGATGTTTTTTTTTAAGTAAAAATAAGTCGACTGTTACATGGTTTAGTGATATTTTAATTAAATGATAGTTATTTTGTGAATTTTATGTTTGTAGGAATTTGGTATACGTTTTAGTTGAAGTAAATGTGCATGGAAATAATTTAAATATTGCGTTTATAATTTGTAATGTTTGCGGTATGAATTCGTTGGTGACGTTTATAATATAATAGATAATTTAGAGGTAAAAGTTTTTAGATATTTTATTTATTTTATACACGGAAATGTTCATATTTGGGAAGGGTATATACTTTTTTGCAATAAGGTAATTTCATATATGTTCCTTTTACCGGGTTTAAAGATTCAGAAAATTGTAATGCATTTTCGTGAAATTTTTCTAATTTATGAGAAAAAAGCAGTGTACATGGATATAGTGAAGAGTGTGCGCAATGCCATTTTTGTGCAATTCTGGGATGTTTTTTTAAGTAAAAATAAGTCGGCGTGTACATGGTTTATGTGTATGTGTTATTGTGAAAAACGCGCAAGGAGTTTCCGATTGTGCACTTTTCCCCAATTTTGCAGTGAATATTTGTCATGATTAAGCAGTTTTGTTAGATAAAATTTCTAGTATAAGTGTAATTTGGCTAGTAGATTGTTGGAAAAAGTGCTCAGTAAATAAAAAGAAAAGAAACATGTCTTTACTTCGTGAAGACAAAATGAGGGCGGGGGGGAAAAAATAGAGGGTTGCTGTAGCAGAGTTGGTTGCCAAAAAATCATTAAGTTACCATAATCCAAAGATCAACCCATATTCTTTAACTTCATAATTTGAAATATACACTTATTCTTTAGACTTCATCACATGAATTTAAATAAGTTAAAATTAATATTTTTTACAAATTATTACAAATAATTTACAAATAATAGAATTACAAATAATTTATATTAAAATAATTACCCTCTGAAAAATTTTAAATATTGTAATTTTGGCAATGTAAAAATCTACTTTAAAAATAATTCTTAATAACAATAAAATGGGCTTCTCACCTTTGCCTGCACTTTTTAACATTAAATTTTCAGCAGCTTTCCAATCAGCACTCAGTCGTTTCACTAATAAAAATGCATTGATTGGATTTTCTAGAAATGACTGTGAGTCAACAGATGCAACCTGATGAAGCCTTCCATACTCTTCCTTCAATCTATATAAATGTAAGAAAAACATTAAAATACTTTTCAGGGGGAGGGGATTATGTTGAAAATGCAACCATTTAAACAGAAGCTTCATAAGTCAGTTATATAACATGTAAATAAAACGTTTGTGTTGCAAACTACCTCAAATGTGTCTACCCATTTTCAATGATAATTTTAAGATGTTATGTTGGAGATTTTACTGTAATATTATAACAGTTATTATTAAGTTAGGTTGCATATTTTTAATAGGTTGGTAAACTAGTATAATACAGAATTATATACAGAACTAGAGATTAGCATATAAATATTTTTTTTTTTTTTTTTTTTTTTTTTTTTACACTTAGTTACTAATGCAGCAAATCACTAGTCTTTATGCTGATATACAGAATCATTAAACAAAACAAACAAGATAAACTCTGACACACTTTGGTACTTTCCAGTTATTGACGGCATCTCCCAAAAAGTTGCTAATTTTTTGCAAAGTTAAGACCTGAAAGACAACATCAGCTTTCAAAAATGGCAGTGCACTAGGAATTACATACAACACAAAACAATTAACAAAATTTTAAACCCAAGAAATATAGATAACAAAACACCTTCCCCCCCTCAATATTCTACTTATGTACATAGTAATCTGTTTTAGCTTAATAAAACAACAGAGAACTTCAGAAACTGGATGCCAGCCACAAGTTGGTTTTACAAATACTGTTAGTTCTCCCCATGTACAAAGCAATTTATTTTTGCTTAGAAAAACATCAGAAAATTGCAAAAATCATGCACTGTCGTTTTTCCCCATTCACAGTAACACTTTTTTGATTAAAAAAAATCAGAGTTATGCAAATTTGTCATCAGGCCACAAATTAAATAAAAATATGACACAAATTATCCAGGATCTTAGCAACCAACTAAACTAATTAAGCTTAAATTTTCAGTTTTAAAGAACTACATATTATATTGAAAAAAAATCCTCCCTTAGATCCCAAATAAAAAAAAAAAAAAATAATTAAGTCTAAAAAGCTTTATGCCAGTCAGTAAAACGCCAATATATTTTACAGTAAATTACATTACACATCTGGTATAGTATTAATTATTTTCTAAAAACTCATATATAATAATATTGGATATATTTTACCCTCATCTAATAACTTTAAAATATGAACTATTAAAAGAATTTTATACAAGAAATTTTGTTCCTTATTTTATAGTTAAGATAAATACTTTAATTCTAATCTCACCTGAATTATATAGAAATTTGCAAAACACGTTCGATACAAATAATGCTATCTAAGAAACTGCAGAAAACAATACTGAATTAAACAGACGATTTAATTCAGTAAGGGATGGGATATATTCCAAATACCAATAAAACTTACTTTTTAACTTCCTGCAATCTTTTCTCTTCCATTTCAATATATTTATCTATAGTCTTTATGAGTTCGCCCTCGGTATATAACAGTTTCTCCAAATCAACAACAGCCGTAAATAGTTCGCAAAGAACTAAATTGCTTATCATACCCGAAAGTACAGCATACATAAAAACCTTGACAGGCCACATCCTGAGTAAGAGATTCATCCTATAACAGAAAGAAATCAGTTACTTTTTCATAATTAAATGTATATATATCTGTATTATTATAATACATGTAAATTATTAATATCAAAAAACAATTTCATTAAATCTCTGCCACAGTTGATCGTAATTCAAATATTAAAATTTTTTACAAACATTACATGATACCTGAAATTAATATATATATTTTCAATAATCCTAATACATAATATTACTGTTTCACCGTCCACATCCTTAATTCACGGCACACTATTATAGCGAAAAATAAATAAATAACACATCACCATATAGGAAACAGAGCGCATTTAAAAACAAAACAAGGCTGTCAAATCACTGTTAAGAATCATTCCAATTTCTTCCGTCTGATTAAAAAATTTTATTTAAAATTAATTACTTTTAATGTTAAAAAATTTCGTTTAAAGAGTTTTAATTTAACTTTTAAGTACCAATGTAATAAAATATTTTTTGAAAGAATTACTTGACTAATGAAAAAATTTGTAAGACTAGCGGAAATATTCTGAACTAAAAGCTTTCAACATTTAGTGTCTTTGACTGTATTGATTATAAGCGCAAGGCGCTCAAATTGCGCAAAGTTTGATTTGAGATTACTCTTCTTTGTTGTTTTCTAATTAAAATAATGTCACAACAAATTATTAGTGGCATTCCGGTGTTATTTCCATATTTGCCATATAAAGTTCAAGAAGATTACATGAAAAAAGTAATTGAATGCCTTCAAAAGGTGAGACAAATTTGAGATTTTTTATGCTTGTGAAAAATCAGAGCTGTTTTTAATGCTAGCACATTTCATGCTTTTTATATGTTTTGTTTTAATCACAGGGTGTTAATGGTATTCTTGAAAGTCCCACTGGTACTGGCAAAACACTTAGTCTTCTGTGTTCCTCTCTTGCATGGTTAGAAACTCGGAAAGCTCAGCAGCAACTTTCTGTAATACAGAACTCTCTTACTGGTGTTTCTGGAATTTTGAGTGATTTAAAATCTGCAATAGATGGAGTAACAGGAAGTTGGGATTCTGGAACAAACTTCAGTATGTTTTTGTGATGCATATAAAAAACAGATGTAAAGTAATGAATGATATGAACAGTTAAATAAATTCATTCTGAATAACTCATTTCGTAAATATTTTTCTTTTTTTTTTTTTAGTGCTTCCTAAAATCATATACAGTTCCAGGACACACTCTCAATTATCTCAGGCTATTCAAGAGTTAAAAAGGAGCAGCTATAAACAGTAGGGAATTTATTATTATTATTATTTTTTGCATTACGTACATTAAATGTATGTAAGTATGTTAAATAAGAATTATCATTTGACGATTTGACTTAACATTTAACTGTTTATGAACTGAATAATTTTACAAGAATTAAACCATTTTAAAAAAAAATGGGTTTAATTCTTGTAAACTTTTTGTATATAAATTGAATTATTGGGTAAAATGCAGAATCGCCCACTTATATGGCATGTATCGATGTGTGCATGAACAAAGTCAAGGGAATGTGCAATGCCAAGTTTGTTCAATTCTCTGATATTTTTTAAGTAAAAATAGGTCGATGTGTACATGGATACTGAGTTTGTGTAATTCTTTGACTTGTTATTTTCAAGGTGGCGATTTTAAGAAATGCGCCAAGCAGTGGGTGATCCTGCACTTTCCCCGAATTATTATAGGCTCATCTCTCTTTTTTTTTTTTTTTTTGTTGCATAGAATATATATTTCTTGGAGTAATACAAAACGGTATCACAGAAGCAGTTCTGGGTGAATCTTTACATTATGGTAACTTGGCGATTTTTTGGCGACCAACCCGGAAGCACTTCCGCAGAGAACCCGGTAAATGTAAACATCGCCAACTTTGGCGATAATAGTTCAAACCTGGTAACCTAGTGGATTCATCCCATTCGCTTGTTTGAAGGTTACAACCATTCCTCTTATTTTGTTTAATTATCACTGTTGTTCGGATTTGGAGATTTATATTATTCTTCTCTTATTTATTATTATTTTTTTGATTTTCCATGTTATTTTTTCTGAATTTTTTAACAACGAATAGATAGAAATATTTTCGTATAATTAAAGATTCGCATCAAAATTAGCAAATCACTGCTGGTGTAAGGAAAACAGTTCAAATGACTTTTGAAAAATAAAATGTAGGCTAATCTTTGGAATATGGTAACTGGTAGTTTGGTGACATTTTGCTGTACTTTATAGCATTAGTTTCATTTTATGTTCTGTGAAACAGTGTTGTTTAATATTTGGATCCCATGGCCCTATATAAAGTAAATCCGAAATTTTTATTGCGTTTATGTGTAATTGAAAAGCATTGCTGAATTGCGGATAAGTATGAATGTCCAATATGTGGGAATGAAATGAGATTGTATGAACGGAAGGATATTACAGATAAGTTTGAATGGCGGTGCAAGAAATCTGGTGAAAATAAATGGACATTTTGTGATCCGCCATGCACTCAAGATTCTGTAGAAGATTAGGTAAGTTAGTATTTTTAATTATTTGAGGATATTATTTTTATGCATTGTTCTAAATGTAAGGAGTAAATAAATTAATATGGCATTATTGGAAAATTGTTATTAGCAATGATTTAGTTTAAAGTAATTAGGATTGTAAGCCAATTTTTATTAATTTAATATATGTGCTTATTTATATTTTAAGTAGTGTTTTTTAATTTAATTATATTTTAATTTAATGATCGTAATTTTGAGAGTTATATGTTTGTAGTATTTTGGAATACGTTTGATTAGAAGTAAATGTGCATGGAAAGAATTTAAGTATTTGGAACCATTTTTAATGTTTGCATTATAAATTGGCAGGTGAGGTTTATAATAGATAATTTTGAAAAGTTTTTGGATATTTTATTTGGGTTTTCATCCGCAGAGAACCCGTTGGCGCTTCGGGAAAGAACCCGTTGGCGCCGTTGCAATTTTTACTCGCCAAGGGATGAGCTGAGCCGTAAACGTGATTTTAAGTGCATGCAAATTCAAATTAGCAGACAAAACAAAATATTAAGCATATGGTAGTAAAAATTCACAGCTAATAAGCATGTAGATGTAAAACTAACCTGTTAAACGTGATATACGAAAATAAAGCTGTACTTTTCATAATATATTTCACAATACAAATAACCTTCAACAGTAATCTAATTTTCTTTAGTAGCATTGTTAACAAAACTAGAACTTTATACATTTTATTATTTTTCAAGACTAATTTGAACTGTATTCCTTACACCAGCAGTGGTTTGCTAATTTTGATGACCATGGGGATGCATCAAACTACTCTGTCATCTTAGATAATCAATACTTTTTATTTCAATTTAATCAGCTATTTATGTAACACCTGCCATCCTCGGAAAGGTTATTGTTAGAAAAGCATTAACAATATAGTATCTTGTTAAAATTTTACGCCATAAAAATTGGAGCCGTGAACCCGCATCTATCGACGAAAACTTCTTTAATTATAACGAAAATATTTCTATCCATTCGTTGTTAAAAAATTCAGAAAAATAATGTGGAAAATCAGAAAAAAATAACATTAAATAAGAGAAGAAGAATATAAATGTCCAAATGCGAACAACGACAGTGATAATTCAACAAAATGAACGCAAGGGGAATGGTTGAAACCTTCAAACAAGCGAATACGTTGAATCCGATAGGTTACCAGGTTTGAACTATTATCGCCAAAGTTGGAGATGTTTACATTTACCGGGTTCTCTGCGGAAGTGCTTCCTTTGGAACTACTCTGATATGCGCCCTCATATCACCAAATATCTCGCCAAATATTTTTGGCAAGAAACTTCATGCTGCCATATTACTATCTAAATTTTTTGTCTACATTTTGAACTTTTAGCCTAAAATGTCTCCAAAACGCGGTTTTCGCACATGCAAAAACTTTGAACACACAATTTAGCTAAAAATCCGAAACAAAAACAAAAAATTTAGATAGCAAAAATGTAAAGTTTCTAACCAGAAATATTTGATAAGAATCCATGTACCCAGCGACATGTTTTAACTTAAAAAAACATCTACGAATTGCACAATGTAGGCAATGAACGAATCTACAAACTACGCAGACTTCACTTTAATAAATTAACATAACAACAATAAATTTCAAAGTACATGTACACAGCATCCTGTTTAAACTTAAAAAAAATTCTACGAGTTGCACAATTTAGACAAGGAAGGAATCTACGATCTACGCACTCCTCGCTTTAATAAAATAACATAACAACAATAAATTTCAAATAATACCATGTACACAGCGTTCTGTTTCAACTTTAAAAAACATCTACGAATTGTACAGTCTAGACACTAAACAACAAAATAAACTAAACAAAATTTCAAACAATTTAAAAAAACAACAATAACGACAGAAATTCATACTAAAGAACCAATGAACATAACATTCTACAAAATAAGAACAAGGATAAAATAAAATGCACTTACCATGAATTAATGCATTTTCGAATAGCGAATAGAGAATAATATAATCATTCATATCGCCTTTAACATGCCGCCACATAATCACTATCGTATTTACATGACAGCCAGACACACTATCCAGAAAATTTATACTATGGTTCACAAATAAATAAAATCAGAAATCCCTACTTCTATCATGCACTGCCATTAAAAATAATCTCCCAGACCCTCTTTCCACAGTTCCAAATACCCACTACCCCTCAACAGGATAGCCACAATCATATTTCCTTTTGCCAAACTTTAATTCAACAACTACCATTTTATCTTTCCCTCCCATCTTCTCAGACACAGAGGCGAATCAACGAGCTCCAGCGAAAGATTTTTCAACGTCAACAGGGTTGTCATAGAACACGCAATCGTGCTAAAAACCAGCTCAGAACACATATCGCCACATTTGGTAAATTAGGGCGTATATTATAGTTGTACCCTTCCTTTTATTTATTTTATACGTGCAAATGTTCATCCTTGGAAAGGGTATATACTTTTTCGCAATCAGGTAATTTCATATATGCCCTTTTTACCGAATTTACAGATTCACAAAATTTTCATGCATTTTTGTGAAATTTTTCTAATATATGAGAAAAAAGCAGTGTACATGAATATAGTGAAGAGTGTGCGCAATGCCATTTTTGTGCAATTCTGGGATGTTTTTTTAAGTAAAAGTAAGTCGACGTGTACATGATTTAATTATATTTTAATTAAATGATAGTTATTTTGTGAATTATATGTTTGTAGCAATTTGGTATATGTTTCAGTGGAAGTAAACGTGCATGGAAATAATTTTAATATTTGCATGGAATTAATTTAAATATTTTAAATATTTACTTAAGTATTTGTAACCATTTTTAATGTTTTGTTATAAATTCGTTGGTGACGTTTATAATGGATAATTTAGAGGTAAAGGTTTTTGGATATTTTATTTATATTATACGTGGAAATGTTCATCCTTGGATAGGGTATGTACTTTTTCGTGATCAGGTAATTTCATATATGTGCTTTTTACTGAGTTTAAAGATTCAAAAAATTTTTCTGAATTTTCGTGCAAATTTTTGTAATTTATGAGAAAATAGCAGTGTAGATGGATAAAGTCAAGAGTGTGCGCAATGCCATTTTTGTGCAATTCTGGGATTTTTTTTAAGTAAAAATAAGTCGACGTGTACATGGTTTAGTTATATTTTCATTAAATGATAGTTATTTTGTGAATTATAGGTTTGTAGCAATTTGGTATACGTTTGAGTGGAAGTAAACGTGCATGGAAATAATTTAAATATTTGACACTAAGTATTTGTAACCATTTTTAATGTTTTGTTATGAATTCGTTGGTGACATTTATAGTAGATAATTTAGAGGTAAAAGTTTTTGGATATTTTATTTATATTATACGTGGAATTGTTCATCCTTGGATAGGGTATATACTTTTTCGCGATCAGGTAATTTCATATATGTGCTTTTTACCGAGTTTAAAGATTCACAAAATTTTCCTGAATTTTCGTGCAAATTTTTGTAATTTATGAGAAAATAGCAGTGTAGATGGATAAAGTCAAGAATGTGCGCAATGCCATTTTTGTGCAATTCTGGGATGTCTTTTTAAGTAAAAATAAGTCGACGTGTACATGGTTTAATTATATTTTAATTAAATGATAGTTATTTTGTGAATTATATGTTTGTAGCAATTTGGTAAACGTTTGAGTGGAAGTAAACGTGCATGGAAATAATTTAAATATTTGACACTGAGTATTTGTAACCAT